TATCGCACGAGACTTCATTAATGTAAGTAATTTGTTTTGTAGTGGGAATGTAGCTTGGTAGAATTATGTAAGGCTGCTTTGTGACCTTATTTATATACTTCCATTTACGGCCTTCGGCCAGGAAAGTCACAAAAAAATTGCACACGAACGGCGCATTCACGCAAGCACCCGATGCTCCGTTTTTAAGTCTTAAAATGAAACATTTTTGAATTGTATTATCTTTTGAATTAGATAATTTTATTTCTTCATTAAAAGCTTATATCATTTTACATCTGGAAGACTTAATTGAAAACGACATTTCGTGTGAATTTTCTCTCGTCGTTAAGTAGATGGCCTTGCTGGGGGTTTGGTTCGATGCGGACTTTCACCTGTTTGGGATTGCGGGATCGAAATAAGGCGACACAGAGCTGCTGGCCGTGCGAGAAGACCGCCATCTGCTGATCGATTCCAATGTAATCGAACGTCTCTCCCTGCGCCTCCGTCGTTCATGCAGGGGGTGCGTAGGTTTGCAGCGCCCCCTGCGAAGAAAAGTGCAGCGTTCATCACAGATGAAGTTGTGCGCTTATATAAGAGTATACTGAGGTTGATCCATCGATGAAATAAAGGTTTAGAAGAAATCTGCACTTGTGCATACACACAGCAAACACCAATGCGCACATCGGGAGTTAAAAAAAGCTAAATAACTCAACCAAAATTAAACATGTGCTGTAGTTGTTTAGCCAAAACATCCATATTTTACCAATGTCTATTCATACATGTACTCATCAATACAATATTGTACAAATGTCCAACCACATCTACAACATAAAAAAATAATTGTTTTCTGCACTGAAACGATGGCCTGTTTTGGACGACCTCTGTTCGGAGTGAATGCAGTGGTGTAGTGTACGATGCTAAACACGTGCTCAAACCGTATTAAGGATGAAAACACAGCACCGCCGAAATTCAAATCTAAATTCGAATAATGACCGATTGATTGGTTTGCTGTGGTCTCTTATTTATCTGTGTATTTCACTTTTCTTCATCCAAGCCCAATCAACAAAAACGAAAGAAAAATCAATTGTGCGCTGCTTATGAATTTATGGAACAATGTAATTGCATAAGAACCCATTGCATTTAAACAAGAGGTTCTGAGACCATGAAAACTCTTCTACACCGCCACCACGTGGCAAACCTTCGATGCTACAATTGTGTTGTGATTCTGCATTAGTCGTGTTGTACACCAAACTCACCGCTATGAAGGGCCATTGCCGGGTTGCCCGAAACGTCGCCTATCATATTAGTTTTAGGGCAGTGTTATGAACGACAGTATTGTATTAAAGAGCTGTGCTGTATAAAAGACAGTCCTCTGTGAATATATGCTGTGAAGGTTCTAGCCCATTGACAGCCCGAAGCAGAAATATATATTTAGTTGGTCTCCGTGTCAATTTATTAAATACTGTACTCGTCAGATGACGAAAAGAGATATAGACAAAATAGAGATGTAGTGAGATGATATAAGAGAGACGCAAACACGAGGGAGATGATATTTACTGGAGGTTTTTTTTACGTAAATAAGCTTGTTATGTTTATTATTATTATTTCAATTTGAGCTGATATTTGATGCACCGCTATTCTCTCGTAAACTGGGGCACCTGCAACTGCTCGGGGCCCTTCGCTTTGGTTTGGTTTGCTTATTCCCAGCGCCGTCATTTAATACATGCACAGGTGCTGTAGAGTACTTTCCGAAATTATTGTCGGAGTCCTTTGCCGGTCCTCTTTTCTAACACCATCCCTTGACACCACCACCAGCACTCTCATTTCACTACCCCCTCCCCCATGACTCCATTCATTCCAAAAATTGTTTGGTGTTGGCTTTCAAAATAGCTCACATGGACAACAGGACACCAAACGTTTGACCTTTACTAACTCGCACTACTGTTGCGTGTAGGCATACTTATAAAAACAAATACTCACAGTATAATGTCACATATCCGGCGTCGCTTGGGACTGAGGTATTGGCGGTTATGTGAAAAGGACAGATTATGTGAATATGATCATGGAAATTTCAAATTTCTCTAGATGAATGGGCACAAATTAAGAGCTTAAAATGCTAGGATTTTTTCTTCTGCATTTAAAAGTGAATGTATGCAAGATTTAAAATATCACACATAAACGAAGCAAGCAATAGTTTTCAGTTTAAGAAATACAGAAAAAAAATACGCCAATGTTTGAGTCCAATACAATACTGTCACCAAAAATACATAGCATAACTTTTTTGACGTTTTAGGTGTCTTTTTGTAACGTTAGTTACACACCATAGTCCCGTTATTAACACTGGGATGAGTGGTACTACATGGCACGACATGCCACTGGGATGGGATTTGGAAATTGTGTTGAACTTAAAATAGAAATATGGAGCAGTGTGGACTCCAGTTTATTGCTTTGTATGTACAGTACAGTAGTGGATCTACATATACCTCTGAATTATATTCGTCGGTGATCGTGCAGGACTCTTGATGAAAATAAAGCAACACTTTTAAGGCACTTCCAAACTTTTGTTGACTGGCTTCAAACGGGGTTCATTAACACTGTTTGAGACTAGGCTCTAAAGAAAGCTGTCTCTGGTGTGGACCAATCAGTTTCAAAGACAATGCACATAGCATGTTTTTTTGTTGCATGTTCACTGCAAGTTTATGTGGTAAATGCAAACATGATTCCTTGCAAAGGTTTTGATTTGGTGTCTTAACATCTTAACACCTGTTTTATTGCCAGAAAGGGGAAAACCCTATAATCATAATTTAATACTGGCAGAGGAGGTCTCATGATGACAAATAATAAACAAGGTAACACAGCTTGTTCAAAGGGGAACGTATGCACCAACACAATCACTGCTGTCTGTAACTTTCGCACAACCCCTGTTAATTCCTGCACACTCTCTGCAAACACCGACACACATTCCGAGTACACACGGATACATATCGGGAAGAGGAGCGAATTGGCACTCCTTTTGTGCTACTCTACTTATGCAAAGACGAGGTCATAATTTCCAGGGACCACTTGCACATCACCACCATCACGATCCGTTGTATATCCACTGCTGGATGATATAACGGTGGCACTCTATCCTGAAAATAGCCCTGTATATCGAGGGTTCACTATTTTTCTCTAGAGGGGCTCTCTAGAGCAACCTCCAGTGGAGGCCAGTCTCCTCCATCAGCAGTGGAGTGAGCACTAAATTGCAGGGCTGCACATTTACATTGTCTACTCTACGGTGCAGTGCTTTATTGTACTCTGTCCTGAGCAGTAACATTAATAAGCAGACAATGTCTCCTTCATATGCTGTATATGTCTCTCCACGTAATTTCAACAGAATTGATTCAAAACGGGCAAATTCTGGACCAGTTTCGACACACGGTGTCTCATCAGCTGAGTCAAGACGACCAGGACTGGTTCAAGGAAGTCGGACTGCTGATGAGACAATGAATTTCGAAACCGTTCCAGCGTTTACTTGTGTGGACGCAATCCTGCTGCAAATTATGGGCCCCCCAATGTCAGTGGCGAAATATGATCTCCCTTGTCTGGCATACGGGAGGTCCGTGGGTTCGACTCTGACCCTGACGCCTGCTGCATATTTGGAGTTTGCGTGTCTCTTTCGCTTTGTTTTTTTTTTCTGTGGGTTCTCCGGGTTTTCCCTCCACATTTAGAAACATACATTTCAATTATTTGGCTGCTATAAATTCCCACAAGATAAGCCACTTTGTCCAGCAATCATTTGTGGCCAGTCTGCTTCTGAAAAATACCCAACAGCTCAGCGGGTTTTACCTAGTAATGAATTTAGTTTTAGTATATTTATCTTCTAGTGGTATGCGTACCATTCCTATACTTTGCACTCCTGTCGGGTTTTTAGTGTGTGTATCGTTTGTTGTTGTAACTTTTGGATATCTGTGTGTGGGGGTGAGTTTTTCGCTCATCGGATTTCTCCAAAATAAATAACATTTCTGATGTAATTTTCTTTGGCTCTTTGGGTAAAGTCACGTAAATCGATACAAATTCATAAAAATAATAAATTTAAAATAAACAAAACTTTCTACGTTTCGATCACAACACAAGCGACCATCCTCTTTCCTCATGATGACGATCGCTTGTGTTGTGATCTAAACGTTGCAAGTTTTTTTGTTTATTTAATGTTCACAACTCTTATTAATTTGTACCTATCTACGTGACTTTACCGAAAGACCCAAACAATACGAACTCCTGCAGTCACGAAAACTTCAAGTCAACATTTCTGATGTCCCCTTACTAAGATGGCCGCCACCCCTGCACACAGATTCATCGCGCTGATTGGTAGACGCGGACTGCACCATCCGAACGGCCGCTTGCGATTGGCTAAATCCGACGCGCGCGCGCTCCGATTGGTAGATTGCGCGCCCGTCCGAACGGCCGCTTGCGATTGGCTAAATCCGATGCGCGCGCGCTCCGATTGGTAGATTGCGCGCCCGTCCGAACGGCCGCTTGCGATTGGCTAAATCCGATGCGCGCGCGCTCCGATTGGTAGATTGCGCGCCCGTCCGAACGGCCGCTTGCGATTGGCTAAATCCGACGCGCGCGCGCTCCGATTGGTAGATTGCGCGCCCGTCCGAACGGCCGCTTGCGATTGGCTAAATCCGACGCGCGCGCGCTCCGATTGGTAGATTGCGCGCCCGTCCGAACGGCCGCTTGCGATTGGCTAAATCCGACGCGCGCGCGCTCCGATTGGTAGATTGCGCGCCCGTCCGAACGGCCGCTTGCGATTGGCTAAATCCGATGCGCGCGCGCTCCGATTGGTAGATTGCGCGCCCGTCCGAACGGCCGCTTGCGATTGGCTAAATCCGACGCGCGCGCGCTCCGATTGGTAGATTGCGCGCCCGTCCGAACGGCCGCTTGCGATTGGCTAAATCCGACGCGCGCGCGCTCCGATTGGTAGATTGCGCGCCCGTCCGAACGGCCGCTTGCGATTGGCTAAATCCGACGCGCGCGCTCCGATTGGACGACGGCCCCAAGAGGCGAGGGCCGCCGTCATTCGGGCGACGCTGCTCCCTGAGAAGGCCAAACGATCGCAGTTCTTCCCACTCCCCGCTGCCCGCCACCCTCTACAGTGACGGCGATGTCGGCCTTCTCCTCCTCCTGGTCGTTGTGGCGGCGGCTCGCCGTGCTCGCCTCGCTGCCCGCGCTGCTGCTCGTGCGGGCGGCTCAGCCGGCGGCGGCGAACAGCGGCGGCGAGGACGAGCACAGCAAGCACTTGTACGACGCTGAGATGCTGGTGCATTCCGTCGACCAGGCGCCGCACTTCATCATGTTCTTCGCTCCCTGGTGAGAATGGATGAGGTTTAAATGAGATTACTTTTCGTTGTTAATATCTAGCAGGGGGGGGGGGGGGTTGGGGATGTTTAAAAAAAAACTCTACATTTCGCGTTGAGCTGTTCACTTTCACGGGTTTGAATTTCCTAGTCGGCTTCGGCGCGAGTTGACGTCTCCCGCGCTGTGATAGGTGGGAGCGGAGCGCGTGCCCGCCCGTGATTGGTTGGCTTGCCGCGTGCTGGGCGGTCCCCCGCTTGTCCGCGCTGCGAAATCTAGAAACGTTTCGCTGCCACTTCGCGTTCCGCTCGCAAACCCGCCGTGTAAAGTTTAACCTGCGGCCGCCACGCACTTAGGATAGCCTCAATCAGCTGCTGATCCATTAAGTAATCTGACTGCTTCAATAACGGGTACACGTGTGCTTACCCCTGTTGCTTAGTGGGACTCGGATAGTTGTGCCCGATTAATTGTGGACGCACGCATGCCGACTTAGACATTGCCTGTGGCCAGGGTTCGAAACGCAAGCAACGTAACAAGAAGGGATTTTCTTTTGTAATAATTTGGGGGGAAAAACCTCTATTTCAAGAGGCACAATGTGCATGTGCTGAATACGAGACGGCCCCTACTGAGCCGCAGGTTTGCCGACCGAGCAAATCGCCCGGAATGCGCCCGACTGTCACCATCAAATCAGAGGCGCTAAGCAGGTTGTAGCCTGGATAGGGCTACGCTCGGGATGGTCGACCACCATCCGTAATGTCGTGCACAGGGGCTACGTTGTGGGCAGCAGCAGCAGCAGCAGCAAAACACGTGATTGTACTGCACTTCTATGCACCCTTACCTTGTGTTGTCTCCTGTCTTCTCTAACCCGCACTGACCAGCGTGGTGAAGTTTAATCGGGTAAACCCCCACGGCCCTCATTCAGCAGTGGATTGATGAAAGGGTTTACACACAAACAATTTAGAGCCCGTGGTCGCATTTCAACTTAAATTCAGAATGGGAATCTTGATTTGGACTGGAGGAATCCGATGTGCTATGAGGACTTTTTTTCACAAATGTCCAGTGCCTTTTCACAGATGTCCAAATTAAGATGCAAGCCAGTGGAATAACTCTTCCCTCACGGCTGCCCACGTGAGCTGCCACCCGGGGATGTCGAACACGTCCCAGGAGCTTTGTTTAAACTTACGAAGTGACATCACAAGCGTGCCAACGTAACGACGAGCTGACTTTAGAGCCATTTTCTCTTTACCTAGCTTTCATACTTGTGTGGGACAGCCCGGCAACCCCAATGTGTGTAGCTAATAGGGGTAAGACCTGTTTGTTTAGGTGCATTATCGAACAATGCTGTCCAACATGTCACCCAAATAACGTTTGTCAGTACAGTATTGGCCCAACGTCACTGTAAAAGCTTGGTATGTCTACCTGCACACAACAGTGGTTGACCTGTGAAGACTCTCCTTCCATAGGAATGTGGAATTTCCACCACTGGCTCAGGTTTGTCAACAAATGACTGGAAAGTACTTATTTCGCTTTTTGACTGCATGTGCAAGTATTTATAGTCCATACATACAATCCATGTTAAACGCATTCTCCTTAAATAAAGGACAATTTTAAGACGCAACTTTTTTTAACACGTGTTTATGGTGGACAAAGGAACGCTATGCTCACGTACGTTCAGAACCAAATTAGTTATTTGTAGTTTACAAATCTGCACATTGTGCTTTAGGAGGCAGTGCATTCCTTTGCACGGCAGCACGGTATTGTAAACTGCAAATAAAGGTATATGATTACCCTAAGGCTGTAGGACAGTGCTTTATTTTTCATTGCCAACTTTGCACTGCCACGTGGCTAGAGTGAGATGAATGGCTGTAGCCCAAGTGTGCTGTGAGATGTCAAGATGTATACTTTGTGGTCTGCTCCCGGATGTGTATTGACATAGTCTAATGCATACATTCTTTGCACTACAGCTATTTCCTTTGCCTGAAAACAAAAATAACTTCTTGCCCTAAGCTTACCACTAACTCACAGGTCATACTTATGCCAGTAATATTAACATTGTACAGTACAGTGTATTAGACTTATTTTCTACAAGCTTGTTTCCTCGTTGTGATTGGTGTAAGATGAGTACACAAACACGATTTTAAAAATCCATATTCTAACAGTGGTTTTACCGTGTTTTCAACTTTTCATACAAATTGCCATCAGTCTAATTTCAGTGATTATGTATATATGCAGACATCCTAAGCATTTTCAAATGTTCATGCATCAAATTGAAAGTTTTATATATATGTAAAATATATATAACCTTCAAAATACTGTAAACATTTGGACGTTGATACAATGTGAGTTAATCTTCATATGTCAATTTCATTATTCCTCTTTTGACGGTGTTGTTTTGGTAGCTGTAATATGATTACAATAGTGGTACAGTAATTGGTAGTGAGAATTCTAAATGAATAATGCTTTCCTTAAACATACATTTGCGTGTACTTTTACCATGATTGCTTCTAATTTAATGCAGGTGTGGCCACTGCCAGAAACTGCAGTCAACATGGAATACACTGGGAGATAAATACAATGAGATGCCAGAGCCACCAGCATATGTGGCAAAGGTGGACTGCACCATGCATGCACAGACCTGCTCTGACCACGGTGTCAAAGGCTACCCCACGTAAGTGTCACAGTTCATGAGTGACATTTCACCCATACTATCTAACAATGCATGTATATGGCTTTGTAAGTACGTGCAGTTAAAAACAATGGGTGCATTACAGCAGAAGCTGCATATTTGGGCTCATGGTGGTAATAATTTACTTTTACATGCTAATAATTTCCATCACTTGGTAATAGTTGAACTTCCATTCATACTGACTGCATAAAATGATACATAAAACCACTTGCATAAAATTATGTGAATTATTAGCACAAGTAGGTGAACCTGGGACCACATCATTGAGTGGTGAGTAATGGACTATATGCATAATCATTGTCTGAATTTGTATCGGTTAAGGTTGAAGCTGTTCAAACCTGGCCAGAAGAGTATATTGTACCAGGGTCAAAGGGATCTTGATACCTTGGAGAGCTGGATGCTACAGACATTGAATGAAGACGCTGGTGTATGACATTTTGTAGTATTAGAGCAAGTCACCTGCTTTCCACGTTATTTCATTATATTACTGTAACTGGATGTATACATTATATATGGTTAAATTTTCAACTGTTGATTGTGCAATTGATCCTCTCCTAGGTTCAAGAAGAATCTGAGCGCCCTTCCCCAGATATCCCTGAGCCTCAACACGGCCTCTATGAGCTGACTTCTGGGTCGTTTAAGGAACATGTCGCGGAAGGTGAGTCATGCACATGATGGCTATGCTTTAATTAAAAACTTTTTTTCATTATGTTTAATTATTGGGATTAATGAAAACATGTCAATTGTCATCATCTTAACACTTTTGAGTGCAGGTTACCATTTCATCAAGTTTTTCGCACCTTGGTGCGGCCACTGCAAAGCTCTAATTCCAACGTGGGAGCAGTTGGCGAGCACATTTGAATACTCGGGCAAAGTAAAGATTGCCAAGGTATATTCTGCATTGCATTGACACTTAAACGTTTTATTTATTTTCCAAATCACTATCGTGCATCGTTGTTAGGTTGACTCGTTTAAATCTGTACACGCTCTTTGTCTGAAGTTTCCTTAATGAATGTTGACTTGCATTTTGGTAGGTTGACTGCACAGCTCATCAAGATATATGCAATGAAAACCAGGTGCGGGGTTATCCCACCCTTCTGTGGTTTAAAGACGGTGAAAAGGTAAGTTGTAATTTCTATCCCTTTTGAGAAGTTCATGTTGAAGTTATAATGTCACCATTCACATTGGGTTCATTGAGAATGCAGTCATTCATTGATTATCACGCAAAGTACCGTTGCGCCAAACGTGTGACATCTTGCGACAGCGTTCACATAAACTTCTCTTGCTGCCTCGGATTACGGGGGTGTGGGGGGGGGTGACCACGGGGGGGCGGTGAGTTTTCTTTGAGGGTCAGTTCCCTTCGAACGTCGACCGCCAACTGAAGTGAACCCAATTTGCTGGAGTTTGCACCTCAAGACTGGTGACGTGTCCACAGAGTGACGGCCTTCTCTCTCGAACTAAGCTCGCAATTGCTCGGAGGCCTGTCGCAAATGCAACCCTCATTTATCTGGGGATTCAATTATTGAGATTGAGATTAGATTTAAAAAAATATTTTGTTTATTGTAGGCCAATGGAGCAGCCCCGAACAGCTGGAGTCATGTGATTTCATAACATACAACATAGACAAGTTGTGCAAATATGAGTTTAGATAATACTAATCGATTAATTATTGCATTGTTACACTCATACACTGCAGACAATTAGCCTACAGCTGTGGATAGTGTTATAGTGAGTAGCACTAAAGTAGCACGTTTTGTTTATTGGCATGTTGCCTCCTTTATGAAACTGAAGATATCAGCATTTGTAGTTGCACACAGCAGCCAAAAATACATGTTTTAACACAGCCAGGAGACTGCTTATTAATGTCAAGTGGGTGGGCGGGCAGGCAGAGGACAGTGGGCTGCTAGTCTGTCATAAATATAGCTTTATTGTGTAATAAATATAGCTTCATTATGTAACAAATGTAGCTTTATTAGTGTGCATACGTTGGGATGCGTTGGTTTAAGCTCACACGCAATGTTTTGGATATGTTAATGCATTTGCATGTTTGCATGCACATGTCTTTGTTCACTCTAAACTCCAAACAAAAATGGAGCCTCCTTTTTGGTATGGCTTTCCAGCTTGTAAATTCTGTACCAACAGTGAACTTGGGTTTGTGGATATGCTGATGCGTGGCTGGTGTCTTGTGTTCCAGGTGGACCAGTACCGTGGAAAAAGGGACCTGGATTCTTTGAAAGTGTTTGTTGATACACAGATTCAAATCGAACCTCAAGATGAAGTGGTTCCACAACAGGCAGTGGATGAAGAGGAAACGGTAAACCATATTGAAAACCGCAGTATTTGCTGTTTTTTCACATTATATGGTTTGGTAGTTGGTAAAGCACTGAGCAGTAGCTATATCTTGCGTGGGAAGTATGCTAGGAATATTATGACAAAATAGGGTAAGTAACTTGAAAGTTCAGAAAATAATGTGGCAGAACAAACATGCTATCTTTAATTTTAAAAAAGTTTTGGTTGGCGGTACACGTTTATATGTATGTATGTTGAAGTTCTTTTGCACCAAATGTAGTCAACCATGCTAATCGGAGGTGCAGAGGGGAAGGATGTATTGGAATGGGTACTCAAACGTTGGTGACCAAGGGGAAGTCAAAGCTATGCGATTGGATACTCGTGAAATTAAACCTGTGGACGTCAGTTGACTTTGCAGCAACTGTGGGATCTAGCAGAGGAAATAAAGCAGTGGCATATGGTGTAACATGATTGATGGTGATGATGATCTTTTTCCCACTTTAGCCATATTCATGTTAAAAGATGTAAATACAGATGTGCTATGTTAATTTTACAGTCTAGCGTGCTGGTTCTGAATGAAAACAACTTTGATGCTACTGTGGCAGATGGCATCACTTTTGTGAAATTCTATGCACCATGGTAAGTATAAGCTTTATTGACTGGTTTATATGCTAACGTGAAATGACACTATCACAAAAGAAGACATTGTCCATTTATTTTTCATCATGTGGTTCACTTAAATTACATAGTAGGATATAACCATGCTCTGTGGATTTGTGGCCTAAAAATGTATTCAAATTATTTTGTATCTCAGGTGTGGTCATTGTAAGAACCTGGCCCCAACATGGGAAGACTTGGCCAAGAAAGAGTTTTCTGGTCTGTCCAAAGTAACGATTGCCAAGGTGGATTGCACATCGGAAGCACAACTCTGCAGTAAACAGCATGTAAGTATAATGCAAGCCACACATGTAGACCACCATGTTGAATAAAGCAATACTGCCTTTTTCCCACATTGCATCAACATAGGTAATAGAATAAAAAAATGACCTTTAAATGTTTAGACCTTTAAATATAAATAATAATGTTGTGTTCTCTTTCTTGCAGGTGCGTGGGTACCCAACTCTACTGCTGTATGTGGGGGGCAAACAGGTGGGAGAGCACGAGGGTGCCCGCAGTCTGGAGGCCTTGCATTCCTATGTGCTGAGCAGAGCCAGGGATGAGCTGTGAACGCACACTGGGACACCTTCACATCAATCGGTGCATTTATTTTAGATTATTGTCAAATTGTGCGTGTGGAGACAACGTGGCTCCAACTGCAAGTTCTGTTCAATACTACTGCACTTTCAAGAAATTAAAACAATCTCACTGATGGTCAAAACATTTTGAGAAAGCAATGTGGAAAACGTATGGAAATTCTCATAATTGTTTTAATATTTTTTAAATGTAACGCCACGATTATTTGATTAGGATTAGATGGGGTGACAAAATAAGCACAACAGTTGTGGTTTTTGTGCCTCAATTTAATACCACATCAACTTTAGATTGCCGTTTAGTCTGATCACAGGTGTATGGGTGGAACATTAATAAACATTGCACATTATTTTGAACTGAACAATAGAATGGAATATTGTATGCACAACTAGTTATTAAGGCAATGGATGACTACATATGTACCACCAAGAGTAGCATATTTATGGAGACATTTGTAAAATTGGATCTTATTTACACCAAATTATGCTTAAATACTTCCATGACATTAAGTTAAATTTCAAGTAATGCTTCTGTGCAGTTAAATGGTACGGGTAATGCTGCTTTTGGTTATACTGTTGTTGTGTTTTTTTACTTGCCTTTTGCTAAACAAGTTTAATTCCTGATAACTAAATGCGTAAAAATGTTTGAAGTATTTCATTAACATCTCTATGCTAAACTTTTTACGAAGTACTAAACAAAATAAAAATGTTTGCATTTCTTCAGCGTCACATTGACTTTTGATTAATTTAATCATTTGTTAAAATATAATTTTTTTATTTCTTAATGTTCCACTTTATTGAAAAAAACTGGTTTTATAAGGAAAAATTAGCATAGTTTTTTTGTGTTTTCCCCTCTACATTACGCTCCTCCTGATGGCGAGAGATGGCAGTGCCTTCACCCAGCAGGGGATTAATTGTGGATGATGATGATGATGATGAATAAATCTTTAATGGATTTGAAATCCTAAGCAGATCGTTTCATCGGAGCAGATTTGGCCTTTTAGTTTACGAGAGCCTCTACATTTCAGTCACATGAAAAGATCTGGAAACGACTTCTGGGGCAGAAATTGTATTTTGTGTAGGATTTAGCATTTTATTGTAATGTGCTACTTTATAGGTACAAGCCAATTATTGTATGTGTTAAGACATTCATTTTGGCACTTTCTTTTATAAATAGGGACTTAAGAGTCCTCTACGACTATTTTCTTAAGCACCGAATGACAAAGGATACTTGTTGCTGTAAACTAAACTTGTTACAAACTCAAAGGACATTTACACTGAAAGCAGTTTTGTTCGCAAATTCACTTGTCACATTTTTTCACGGACAACTTTTATGGAGGAGAGAATTTTTAAAAAATCCAATAACAAATGTGGTGCCATTCTTGTGTCCCATACTCCTGAATAATTAATACGAATTCATATTACTAGTTTCTTCTACATGGATATAATATGCTGATTGCCTTCAGCCGCATGTTATCTACAAACATTGTTGATATCAAACGGAAGCTATTCATCGCTAGTTGTGACTTGGCATCTAGTTGTGACAAGGTGAACATTCAAATCGCAAGCGCCTGTGTTTTTTACAATCACCTTTTACAGAACTGCACCACATTGGTAGTATGCAGTAAGTGATCACCACAAAATATTTGGAGAAAAAAGCCAACGTGTGTACATGCACCTGAACAATAGTGCTACGTAGATTTTCTTGGCTGTGCTGTATAACCCTCGCATGTGTTTTTGGGTGGTACTGCATCTTATCAGGCACGATACGTGACATGTGGTGGGAGCTTCAGGAACAATACATTTCCTCCCGTTGTGCTTGGCACTGAATACAGTTCCTAAAGAAGCTGCCAGCATATGGAGCTTAACGGTCGGATATCATCCCAAACAGCACGTGGTACAACCTGAAAACTCGCCAGAGTTCTAATACTAATTGGTATATACAATCTTATTAAAATAAATGTCTTCATATCCAGCGACTCAAGAACTGGGTCACTGGAAGTTGCCTGTCGCCATACCAGACGATGTTTAGTACTAAGATTCAGTGTAAATGCCAAAGGCTCAAATAGTCCCAGCTAATATTCTATAAGTGTAGCAGTAGTTTTCCAAAGAAGTCCTGCACAGCCAACTTTTTTTATCATGGTTCAAATGAGGTTACTACATACTATGAAGCACTTGTGCTGCTTAGTTTGTATGCAGTCATTGGCCTGAACCACAATGTCCACACGGACTCGGAAAAGTTGAGTCTGCAAATGTGCCATTAGAACTCTTGATTACTGTTGCTTATATGCTTGTAACTTTTTATAGAAATGGAAAATCAATGCCTAATAAAACATTTTGAAGTTCATTTCACGGAGGTTTTTTTTCGTGTGGAACTTGCTGCACCCCTTACATGTTTGTATTTGTACAGTATTTTTAAGGCACGTAGAAGGGAAGTAATAAAATAATAAAAATAAAACAATAAAATAATTCTCACGACAGCTGTCTCCCCGACAGACCTGGTCTTCACCTGAGGACGGCTGCTTGCGTTGTGGCCGAAACGTCGTGAGAATTATTTTATTATGTTTTATTTTTATTATTTTATTACTTCCCTTCTACGTGACTTTACCGAAAGAACCAAGAAGATTAATCCCTGCGGTTACGAAAGCTTTAAATCGAAAATTTTAAGGCACTTTAACGTTTTTTTGCAATCAAAAATAGTTTATTTTGAATATATATCACTTGATTAAAATTCCCCTCCACAAATGAACAAGCAATTTTGCATGCACCTTATGCATCACACAACACATGGCTTGCTTGAGGTAGAATACAATAGTACGGATCCACATTTTCTGTTTATATAATGCATTTTGAAAAGTACAACGATTAACGTTACCTGTATAACATAATAAAACACGTTAATAGTTCCATATAAAATGCTGATTTAAGCAAAGCCAAAATCGGCTTGAGATATGTTTGTCAAGTACTTTTAAGTGCATAGTTTACACATAAAATGTACACTTAAAAAAACAGCTACAACTATGAAGCTAAACAAAAACAATGCATGGTATGTCATGGATATAGGAAAACAACATCGAGAGGCCTTGCAGCATGGTCAAGTGCTAACAATTATAATTAACTATGAAACTGTTCAACTGTGGCAGACCTTGGGATGGGGGAGAAGAGTCGATTTCACAAAAGAAAGATTGGGCAAGATGACCTGAAACATTAACGGACGACGGAAGTCCCCTCGACAGAAAGGGGAGAGCTCAAAGAGTGCCTGTGTGAAGGGGAGGAGGGGGAGAAGGAATTGGCGAGCCAAGATGCTGATGAGAGGGGAGGGAAGGAAGGGGGCGAGCAGTTGTGAGCTGCATGGAGCAGTGTCTGTTTTGAAAGGGGGCGGGGAGAGGGGAGGAATTCGGAATAGGGTTGGTCATGTGTTTAATGGAGGATTGAGCTGATAGTGTATGTGTAGGGGTGTCAGGGGAAGGGTTCCCACCAATAGGAGGGTTAGTGGGAGGGGTGATCGAGGGGATATAAGGGGAGAACGGGAGGGAAGAGGGGCCTTTGGCGGGAACGAGATTGGGACGGCTGGGGACAGGTGTGGATGGGAGAAAAAGATTAAAGGACGAAACCCCTGCAATCTTGTGTCGGCTCTCCTTTACATATGTATTCATTATTGTCATAAGAAAGACATCAAGATGGTTTCCAAATATTACGTGTAATCAGTGCCCTTAGTAATATATGCTCGTAGCTATTTTATACATTACCTGTTGAAACAAACACCGCTCTGTGGGGCTTACTTCTGCTTGCCCGTTCCTTCTCTCGATCTCTTCATACAGTGCTGTAATAATGTGTGAATGTTCTAATGTAGAAATGTAGCAAGAAGTGGTACATCATCGGTGTGGTATGCCGGGCTCGCACGTTATAATAGAAAATACAATTTACTTAAAATGTACTTGGTGATCATCACTGATTAGCTGGATCATGAAAAATTATTCCAAAACAAAAGTATCCACCATTAAGTTTGCACAACGGCATCTACTGAGCTATAAAGCTTTTTTTCAGAAGCCGTTTGGCCACATATAGCTCAACGAAGTGGCTCATCACGTGGACATTTATTGCAGCCAAATACTCTAAACGGATGTTTCTAAATGTGGAGAGAAAACCCGGCAGACCTGGAGAATAGTCCACACGACCACGGGGAGAGAGATATGCAAACTCCAAATATACAGACGTTAGGGTTAGGATCGAACCACAGCGTCCTGTATACCAGGCGAGGTAGTTAACATCTCGCCACCTTGACGAAAAGATATTGGTGTGAAACTGAACAAAAGTATTGCAAAGGAAGTCGATATACCACAACTTACATCATTAACTACCGTGCACTTCGAACAACTATGTTAAGGTCAATGAAAGAATGCTTAACCTTACAGATGGAGGGATGAAACAATATACTGCTGTCAACAACAAAGCTTCTCTTCAACCAATACTTCCTCAGGCGCTTCATACTGTACACACAATAAATCCGTTAGTTTAACAAAATCAGCAGATAGCACAAACATGTAAAGATTTCTCAGCTTCAAAGATGTTTGTTTTTGACAATTTAAGTCATGAGGATTAAAAACATGTAAGAAATGGGGAATAAGATAAACTCTTTATATTATGTTTCCACCTTTATTCTATTTGTGTGACCAAAGCACTGGCATTTAGTCTGTGAAATGTGAAGATAAACTGTCGCACTGTTTCCCCTTTTACAAATATGTTTCCATTGTACAAAACACGTGCAAATCCTAAAAATACATGCTAATTTAGCACCAGTAAAATTTTACCATTTTGATCAAGTAAAAAATCGCTCTAAAAACTGCTTATCGCAATGCCACTGAGACATTTGCACATTGCTTGTTACAGAAAGCATATTTCCCCACAAAGTCCAGATATCTATGATCACCAAATTATACGGACTCGGAAAAGTTGAGTCTGCAAATGTGCCATTATAACTCTTGATTACTGTTGCTTATATGCTTGTAACTTTTTACATTGATTACATTTTGTCCAAAATTATATTTGCAGTAGATTTCTTTATAAAATAAGGTGGCATGGAGAGATACATTTCACAAGTACTAAAAGCCTGCAATTTCATGGAGGTTTTAGTGAACAATGGGCAAGAGGTTAAGTTATTAGAATTATTACAAATTAATTAATGAAAAGGTTCGATGATCACAACTACAGCGATCGTAGCTCTCTAAAGCAAAATGCCTTCATGTAAAATTTCACAATGAAGCTGCCTTGGGTAGTTCCCATTGGCCACACGTTGGCTGTGGCTAATACACTCAATTCAATGCGTGAGCTCCTTCTGTGTAATCCACTTGTACATCTACGCGGGTGCCCGCGGTTTGCTTTTGTCAAACCAAAGTGGAGGGTGATTAAATCCGTCGACACGTGTTCATCACGCACTTCCGACCGTGCGTCGAAGCAAACGCCGCCCGCTTACGGAGCCTCCTCTCTGCGTCAGTCACTGGGACCTTTCTGGTAGCCTGGCCGATAGGGGACGTACGCCGCAAAGCATCCTCGCGGATCGCACACCCCCGGCAGCCCCGGCAGCCCTCGGTTGCCCGGTTTTCCCGGCTGGCCCTGCTGCCCGGGGGGACCTGTCATTCCTGCTGCGCCCTCCTTCGACAAGCCCGCGGGACCCATGGCACCTGCCGTACATAGAACGAACATGATCAGCCCTATGAATGCAACGGAGCGGATAATCCTAAAATCAAACAGCATGACACATACTCCAGGTACGGGACGTGTTTTTTGTTATGTTGCAGCGCTGTAGCAAGTGCGGCACGCTTGGGGCTTGCCGCACTTCCAGAGGGGAGCACTGTCGGAATGAGAAACCACATTTTCGGAAATGAAACAATCAGCGGTGGCTGGCGGCTCAGATTTCGGGTTGGGTGGTGAAGTGCCCCAGCACCGGGGGGGGGGGGGGGGCTATGGGCGAGGATGGCACCTTTACCTTGGATGACGTCATCGCATTGGCGCTTTTAGTTGTTTGTCGACGGAATAACAAAATATATACATTTTGAGGAGTTCCACCCAAATTCATAAGCACACTACAGTGACCATTTAAAAATAAAAAATACTGGAACAGGCAGTTTCTTTGCCATCATTTGTAAACATGCAACATTTGCTTATCAACAAAAAAGGTTCATATGCACCTGGCAGCCCAGCATTTCCCATGGGTCCAAACCTTCCAGAGCCTTTGGATCCTTTGTCACCCTTCGTCCCTCGCTCTCCTGCCAAATGATAACAATTAAACAATCAGCTTTTCCTCAACTAAATTTCGCTCCTCATGGCAACGAATCCCATCACCTAATTACAACAATGGCAAAATAACAAGTTAACACAAGCAGTTAAAAGTATAACTTTTTCGAGTTGACTGGTATAATTAGTGATAATATATCATTCGTTCCATTGAAACAATGCATATTGTTGTTGATCTATTCCCCTAACAACAGCAAACACACTCTATGAATATTAAGTTTCAAACAATCAAGCAAATCAAATAGACTAACTGCCATTAATCCTTCTGATTCTCTGGTGCAATTAGGAAAGCTACTTTTAATGAGCGATACTAAAAACGTGCAGTTATTTTGTTTCACAAAATCTGAAATAGATCGTTAAAATATACGTGATTTATTATTTCATAAAACCAGTCAAATGTTCTTGTGTGGGAGTTGAAATTTACTTTCATAGACAAATAGTACTATAATAAATTAAAATATGTATTAATTTTAAATTAACTTTACTACCAAGTGAATTTACAATATTGATTTTTGGTGCATGGAATTGTCTTTGCTTACAAATATGAGGGATTGCGATGGCATGCAAGAGGCCTTTATCCCAGCAGTGAATTTGTAGAGGAATAGTGTGAGCAACCACGAGGGGGCGAACAGAGGTAGGAGCGAGCGAGTTGACAGCAAAGGATACGTCATGTCACGTGGGCGGTAAGGGGGTACACCTTCGGGAACAAAGGCGGGATCGAGCTAGGGGGAGGAGCCGCCAAAGGGGTTCTTAAGGGGGAGCCCGTGACGAAGGCGGGGTAGTTGTGGGGAGCCAGGGCAAGGATCGGCTGGAAGAGGTCTCTCCCTCCATGTCGCTGGGCGGTGTTGGATGAACCCCCGTCCCATGCAGACGAGCGAGATCGCCCCAAGGAATGGCCGAGTGAAGGATAATATAGAGTTCGGGGGTCCATGGTAAGGACCAAGAATAGAAAGCACCTACCTCTGGTGTGAGTTACAGTGTCGTGTGAACAGTGTTAATAAACGGCATCAGCCCTTACAGTGAATTCCGTCTCCGCGTGGTCGTGCTGCACAACAAATTTACAATGGATGATGATACATGCTTTTGAATTACTTGTTTTATTATATTCAGTTATTTTCCTTTATCTCCTTAAATGGCAATACTTCATATATGGTCAAATAGGTTTTGATTTCCACTCATTCACAAATATTTGCTGACGAATGGCTCAAAAACATAACGAGATATTTGTTCAATGTGTCACTAATCTCGTGTTTTCGTGAACCACAGAACTCGAGTAAGGACTGGAGATGTCATCTCCAGCAGAGCTTCTCTGTGTTTTAGTCACCTCGAGTTGGCTACCAAATTGGGCTGAATCTGCAGTTCTTTAGGCCGATTTCAGTTTGCGGGTTGGCTTTAATTCCTTACGTCAGAATTCGTGCTGAGCAACAATGCATCGCGATGGACAAGGTCCCCCCCTGCTTTGGACTCTTGTGAGTGACCGGCTGGGGTGAAGTGTGCTGTGATCTGTTGCTGGTCAAGTATAATTGGTAATAGTAGTATGACTCATTACCAAACATGTCAATCAAAATCATAGTAGGTGGCAAGAATATTTAATTTTACATTCAACATTATATTTTGTCAGCAACATGGCATTGACCTTTGACAAATGTTTTGGAAAGTCTTATTGATGATTTGAAGGTTTCGTGACTGCAAGGATTCATATTCTTAGGTTTTTTCGGTAAAGTCACGTAGGTAAAAATGTTTTAATTAAAATTAATAAAAGTAAAATAAAAATAAAAATCACGACGTAAATGAGAGATTACAAGAGATACCACTCCGTATATATAATGGTTGAGGGGGGGGGGGAAGGGCCAGGAACGGCTCACTTTTCATTATTATGGTAAGGTGTGGCTTGAGACTACGAATAGACTACATAACAAATGACTGAGCCTTTATTATGGAGAGGTTCGGTTTGTGACTACGCCTTGCCTATGAAGTACCGGTGAGGACGCTTGACGCCGAGGTTGAGGCACACGTATGTTTATTCACAATATGACAGTGGGCATATACACACTCGAGGGGGTATCGGCCCCCTCACCCGTATAACTCGCAATACACCCCTAGCTAACTCTGTCCTAGCCCCGAATCCTCCACTAATGGGCTAGGGGAGGCTAACTGGCCCGACACTGGTAAGTCGGGCCCGGTACCCGGAGTTCCAGACCAGCTCTTACAAGAGCACCGGCTCTGGCTTTCGGGACCACGCCGCTGGCTCAATCCTGTCCAGCCCTGAAAAGGACATCGAACCAGGGGAGTCCAGGGCTCTATCTAAGACGTCTTCAATCTTCTTCCCTTAGCTTTAACATAACTGCCGAGCCCTTTGAAACATCCCCTTTTATACCCAACCCCTCCCTGAGGGGTGGGGCCCCGGGGGATCATAACGTTCGAACCAGCCCCCCCCAGGGTGTCTGGCTCGGACGTCGTAGAGGGCACTTGCTCGTGCACTTACGTAGCCCCGCCCACTGTGTTTGTTTTCCATAGGCTGCCATGCATAACGGGCCCTCTCTTTAACACCCCTACATCACCCCCCCCCCCCCCCCCCCCCGCATAGCTTGCAGCCGTCCCGGCTGCCAACATACAAAAATGACAATAAAAGTGCATTTACACCTTGACCGCGCGTGTGCCTCACTATTTTTCAACAATAACAAGAACAGCAACAAGAACACAACAAAAGGCAACAGCAAGAAGAGAAAACAACCCGACGCACCCCCCCTTGAATAAATACGAATTCTGTAAAAAAAAAAACCTATATACAATTTGCAGGGAACCCACCATACACACAACACCAGGTGAACCCAACGTATGTACATTTCAATGGGCAGGGAACACACCACCCACACAACACACAATGAACACAACGTATGTACATTTCAATGGGCAGGGAACACACCACCCACACAACACACGATGAACACAACCTATGTACACATCTTCCGGCCTCATAACAGTCTGCGCATTTTTGCGCGCGTCCTTGCAGCGGGCCCCTCACACGGGGTAACCCCGGGTGGCGGACCGTCAGGTGGCAATTGTCCGTCCCGGAGTGAGACCTCATCCGATGCCGCGCGACCGTCGGTATCCCCAGGAGGGGTGGTCGGGCGTGAGCCCGTCAGTCCTGATGCACCTGGAGGTGGCACGGCCGGCAAGGCATTAGGTGAGAACGACGGAGACGGACCCAGTGAGTCGGTCGACCCCCCACACGTTTGGCCACGCATGTGTGAAGTGGGTTTGTGTACCGCAACGAAGGGTTTTAACCTAGAGGGGTGCACGAACCATCGCCGCTTCCCCCATTTAATGCGCACGCACTGTGGTCGCAAAACTTCGACCACCTCCACAGGGCCCCGCCACGGCCGCGCCAGCTTAGGGGAGGTAGCCAGGGGCACTTGGGGACAGTGCAACCATGCCTTGTCCCCCGGCTTCCACTTTATTACGTGCGCCCGACCCAGCCTGAGGCGCTCATTCGCCTTTTGACGGAGGTCCGAGTTTAGCATAGCAGCATCCCGCGCCTCTGTTAATTTGGCCAGATAAAATTTGACGTGGTCAGCCAATTTAGTTTTCCCTTGCGGGTCGGGGATCTGCAGCTGGGCGCGAACAGGCGGGTCGGGTTCGCGACCGTACATGAGGTAAAAGGGGGAAAATTCCGTAGCTGCATGGGGTGCCATCCGGTATGCCGCCAAGACCCCTTGAATATGCAGGTCCCAGTCAGTCTGCGAGTCCGAGACCTGCTGTGACATCATTGACGTAATGGTGCGATGCAGGCGCTCGACCATTCCGTCAGTTTGCGGGTGATACGGGGAGGTACGAATTTTCTTCGTGCCTAAGAGGTCACAGACTTGTTTGAGTAATTTACCGGAAAAATTTCTGCCCTGGTCGGTCAGCAGCCGCTCCGGAGCACCTTTGTCCAGGACGTATCCCTGAACAAAGGCCTCCACGATGGCTGCTGCCGACTGGTTGGCAAGGGGCCAGGCCATAGGCCAGCGCGTAAAATACTCGACACCTGTCAACAAATACCTATTGCCCCTGGGGGTGGCGGGAAATGGGCCCAAAATGTCCAGCGCGACAAGCTCATTTATTCTGGATACTTTGATCGATTGCAAGGGCGGGTTAGACTCCCGCGCCGGCGGTTTCCGTTGCGCACACCGAGGGCATGATCCCAATAGATCCCCAACATCCCTCGTCATACCAGGCCAAAAAAAATCAAGTTGTAGCAGTGCAAGAGTCTTTTGGGTCCCCAGGTGTAATAGGCGCTCATGCGCGGCCCACACCACCTTGCCTCGCAACTCAGAAGGGACCACCAGCCGATGTCGCTGGGATTTGCCGTCCCAATGCATCAGCAGGCCTTGCACCATTTCCCATGCATCCGAATCCCCCGTCACCCGCCCAGCACCCCCGACGCGACGACGCCACCCGAGGAGGGAGGTATCCTCCATTTGGAGGCGCCCCCATTCAGTGACGGGCAACCCCAACAGGGAATCTCTTCCCTGTTGTTCGATCGAATTAGTAACCAATGGTTCGTCGTCGTCGGTGGCTGCCAAGATCGGAACCGATGCGTCCCCTGAAGGCCTGCAACGTCCCGACCCCAGGAGGCATGCACATTCGGAGGTGGTTGGCATGCGCGACAGAGCGTCCGCATTCGTATGGCGAACGCCCTTACGGTAGGTGGTTTCAAAATCAAAGTCCTGGAGAACCTCCAACCATCGAGACAACTGTCCCGATGGTTGTTGAACTCGCAGGGCATACTGTAGTGCCGCATGATCTGTGCGGACGGTGAAATGCCGACCGTACAGATATGGGCGATACTGTTGGATGAAATAGACAATTGCCAACAGTTCCCTACGGGTGACACAATATCTTTGCTCCGCAGGAGACAACATCCGACTACCGTACGCGACCACCCGTTCCACGCCATCAACCACCTGGGAAAGCACACCCCCAATACCCGTGTTGCTCGCATCGGTGTCGAGCAAAAAGGGCTTAGAAAAATCTGGGTAAATCAAGGGAGGGGCTTTTACCAGGGCGTCCCGAAGGGAGCAGAAAGCAGCCTCCTCCTCTTGACCCCAGTGGAACCGAACCCCTTTAGATGTTAAAGCGTGCAGGGGTTTTGCAATTGTCGCAAAATCAGCGACGAACCGTCGGTAATACGACGCGAACCCAATGAAACTCCTGACCTCTCCCACCGAGGTGGGAGTCGGCCAGGAGCTGACACACTGCGTTTTGGCGGGATCGGTAGCAATACCTGAGCGTCCCACGATGTGCCCCAAATAACGCACCGAATCGCGCAACAAATGGCATTTTTGGGGCTTGAATTTCAAATTAGCAGCCCGCATCTTTAGGAAAACCGCCCGCAACCTCTGGAGATGTTCGTCAAAAGTTTTACTAAAGACGATAACGTCATCCAAATAAATGAGGCACGACTCCCATTGCAATCCAGCCAAAACCAATTCCATCAAACGCTGGAAAGTTGCCGGCGCTGAGTGTAAGCCCATCGGCAACCGGTTGAATTGGAACAGGCCGTGCGGTGTACGGAAAGCAGTTTTAGGCTTTGAATCATCGTCCAGAGGAAGCTGCCAGAATCCCGAAAGTAAATCCAGTGTGGAAAAGAATCGCGCTCCCGCCAAGGCGTCCAGCGATTCATCCATCCGAGGGAGCGGGTATGCGTCGGCAACCGAAATTTTGTTAAGACGCTGGAAATCAACGCAAAACCGCAACGAACCGTCCTGCTTTTTAACCAGGACGATCGGCGCTCCCCAAGGGCTGGTGGAAGGAGAAATGATGTCGGCGGCCAACATGTCATCAACAGCCGATTTGACATGGTCCTTTTCGGCGGGACTCAACCGAAACGGATTTTGGCGAATTGGCGCGCTGTCACCCGTGTCAATATGGTGACACAGCAGGTGAGTACAACCCAAATCGTATTTATTCCGACTAAAAACGTCGGAAAATTCCCGCAGTAGTGTTTTAAGTTGTTGACGCTCTGAATCTGACAGGTCCGTCGATCCCGCACAAAGCGCCTCGAGCCACCCTTCATCGCTGTCCGAATGCGGTCGCGGCGCAGGGACAACGCTGACGTGATTTGCGACGGGTTCCTCACATGGCACCGGCGTTGCGTGAGCAAGCACGGTCCCCTGTGGGACCACCACCGTCTGCGAGCCCACATTGAGGACCGCGATGAAGGGTTCACCGTCCCCTCTTACTATGGTCTGGGCCGGAAGTAAATGAGGTCCACTAACCCCGGCCCTAGACGACCCCAGCAGAACCCCTTGGGCCCCAACACCCTTAGCGAAGGGCCGCCGAAGTTTCAAGGGAATCAACATTTGCGCCCCCGGAGGGACGCGCACCGTTCTCTCTACGAATGCCGGCACCGTCGCGAACGCCGTCCGAGTCGTAACAGGCGATGGCAGAAACGCCATGCGTCTGCCCGACGGGAGCTCAATACATCCCTGGTCGATCAATATCCTAATCGGCATTTTGGCCAGGAAGTCCGTCCCCAGCAGGCACGGAACCGCCAGCGAGGAGGAAACAAAAATCGGCCCAGACAATTTAATTTCCCCAATACAAATTTGGGCACGAATTTGACCGATGATGCCAAGTGAGCCCCCGTTAGCCGCATAGAATGGTACGTTAACAGGCATCAAAGGACGACTCCGGACAGGGAGAATATTGTAAATCAACTCCGAAATAATGGTCGCCGATGCTCCCGTATCAACCAGGATGTGCACTTCAACCCCGTCGATGTGCCCCACAACGGCCGACGACCCCGACGATGCGGCTACCACACGATCGGCCAGCACGGACCACTGGCCGGGTTCGATATGAGTACCCGGGGTGGTGCGTGATGGTGCGATGGTGCGCGATATCGGCCCCCCTCTCGTTGCGGTGTTTGAGTGCGTGACGGGTGTGTGCGTGGGCCAAACATGTGGGGTGCCGCGACTCGCCGGGTTATGATGGTGGAGCTTGTGATGAGGCCCGTCGTCCCGTTGAGGTGTCGTCCCGCGCTGTCGAGGAGCGCGGCACCCCGAGGCGACGTGGCCCCGGACGCCGCAGTTGAAACACCGCGGGAGCGCCGTTGGAGGAGACGGACGGTTGAAACGGCCCGGCCCGTCCCGGCCCGACCGTGCTCCTGTCGCCTGTTGCGGTCGGTGGTCGACGGCGTAGAGCTCCTCCGTCGGAATGGTGGCTGCAGCCACCGCACGCCCCGCCGATGCCCTGCTGGCTTTCCGCCGCAGTGACAGGAGGTTGGCGTGGAGGAGCCGCGCCGCCTGGAGCGATGTCATCTCCTCGTCCTCCCGGGCGACGACCGCGATGTCAAGGTCATCTGCCAGGAGGAGGATCTTCTCCGTGACCATCGCGTCCACGCCGTCGTCGTCCATACGAGGGAAGGCCGACTTAGCCATCGCCAGGAGGCTCGTCCGATATGCTAGGGGCGACTCCTTCTCACCCCGCTTGCGGTCGTAAAATTGCTGTCGGCATTCAGCCGATGGTCCATAGACCCCGCCCAGCAGCTGTAGTGCCATCGGTAACGTAGACCGCTTCTCTCTCGGCGCCGATGTGAGGGCGGCGAGCGCGTCGCCGTCGAGGAGCGCCGGCAGCGCGCAGAGAGCCTCCTCATCGGACCATTTCGCCATCTCCTGATGGGCGAGGAAACGTCGGCGAAAACCGGCCCAGTCCCCCTCCGCGCCGATGAACTCCTTCAGCGGGGGCAGTCTCTGATGAAGCGCAGCGGTCGTTGTGGACTCCCGCAGGCTGATGTCACCACCACTCGGCTGTGCGTCGGTGCGAACGGCCGATGGGATCGCCTGTCGCGCTTGTGATGACGTTGCAGCTTCAGCGACGGCGATGTCGGAGCGGATGTCTAGGCTGGCCACGCCCCGAACAGCTGTAGCGTCGATGGCGGGAATTTCAAATTCGGACTGCTCCGAAATGGCGGAAGGCGCCCTGGTCGTTGGCTCGCCTCGCCCCGTGTTGGATCACCGGCCCCTAGTCGAGTGATGGTCTCCAGCGTGGCGGCAGCGGCATACAGCAGCTCCGCCAGCCTCCCGTGAGCCAGCCGTAACGCGTCTGGCTGCGGCCCCTCTTCATTTCGATGCCCCGGTAAGGAGGCGTCAGGCCCCGGCTGCACCTTGTCTTGTGGAGCCGTCTCGGGCTCGACGATCTCGGCAGTGTCTTCCTCCTGCGGTACTTTGGCCCGCGCTGTTTTCCGCGTGTCCATGTTCGAATTACTTCTGACACCAGTTGAAGTACCGGTGAGGACGCTTGACGCCGAGGTTGAGGCACACGTATGTTTATTCACAATATGACAGTGGGCATATACACACTCGAGGGGGTATCGGCCCCCTCACCCGTATAACTCGCAATACACCCCTAGCTAACTCTGTCCTAGCCCCGAATCCTCCACTAATGGGCTAGGGGAGGCTAACTGGCCCGACACTGGTAAGTCGGGCCCGGTACCCGGAGTTCCAGACCAGCTCTTACAAGAGCACCGGCTCTGGCTTTCGGGACCACGCCGCTGGCTCAATCCTGTCCAGCCCTGAAAAGGACATCGAACCAGGGGAGTCCAGGGCTCTATCTAAGACGTCTTCAATCTTCTTCCCTTAGCTTAAACATAACTGCCGAGCCCTTTGAAACATCCCCTTTTATACCCAACCCCTCCCTGAGGGGTGGGGCCCCGGGGGATCATAACGTTCGAACCAGCCCCCCCCAGGGTGTCTGGCTCGGACGTCGTAGAGGGCACTTGCTCGTGCACTTACGTAGCCCCGCCCACTGTGTTTGTTTTCCATAGGCTGCCATGCATAACGGGCCCTCTCTTTAACACCCCTACACCTACATAAAAAAAATGCTGTAAATGAGACCGAGCCTCTGCCATGTACATGTTGTTTGGTGGGTAAAACTTATTGCAGGAAACCAGAGTGTGAAAAAAGAAGCTAAACCTGGTAAAACAAAACTGGCTGTCTATCAGTAACCTGTAATAGTTGTCTGTCAAATAAGATGGTCCAAATAAGTGTAGTTAAATCTTTTTTGCACGGTTAATCACATATTTCCAATGATTACTCAGTTTGTAACCATCATCACGGTTGAAATTATATCTGTGTTTGTATATTTGTATGGCTTCGTGTACAAACCTTTGATGGTAGCCAGGAGGTTTGCAGAGCACCTTGGTCTCGGAAAAGACAATTTCATGAGAGCCCACAGAGTTGTAGCAGTGATCGGCAACGGCTGAAGAAAAGTGAGCCATTCCTGGCCCTCCCTCCCCCCTCAACCATTATATATACGGAGTGGTATCTCTTGTAATCTCTCATTTACTTGATACAGCTGTCGGGCTCTGACGGTTCCACCTGAATACGGAAGCTTGTGTTGCCTCCGAAACGCCGTGATTTTTATTTTTATTTTACTTTTATTAATTTTAATTTTAATTTTTTTACCTACGTGACTTTACCGAAAAAACCTAAGAATATCTTATTGATGAGTTATTCTGGGGGAAAAAACTTGCCAAACTACTAAATATATCCAGTAACTCAAGAACAAAAAGTAACTTTTTTTTACCAATGAAGTCTTTTTCAATTCAACTTCAGGCCAACTCAATGTGATTTGAGTTGCCTATCCATGGAAACCCAATGTAATGAAGCCAACACAATTCAGGATAGACAAGTCATCAGAAAGAAGTCCCATTTGCTCACCTTTAAGCCCAGAGCCACCTGGTTCACCAGGTGTCCCGGAGTATCCAGGCCTTCCCATATCACCGGGAAAGCCAGACAGGCCACGGAAGCCCTTAGTGCCGGGGGGACCAGGGGGCCCGGGTAACCCACGTGACGCCACACAAGGCTCACACGGCTTCATGATGCTCCGCAGCAACCCAGCCAGGTGATCTGATCCACACAAAACTCATGAACAGGTGGACAACAGTGGCTCATAGTTGCTATCACCCAATTTACCATATGTGTCAAGTATAGCTGTCTGCTGTGTTTTTGAGTAATACCACATGCTAATCGACATGACATGCAAGCAATTCAACCACGTCTGAGACAACGTGCGGTGAAAACCCGAACGCACATCAAAGCGATCGCCAGCACAACTGCGAAAACCAACGAAGTAGTATATTATGTCGAGGATTGAAACAGGAGTCAATTATATGCCATCATTTTTAAAGGTGAACCTGGCGTAGGTCTCACCAGGAATGTATGTATGTTCAACTTCTTTCGTACCGTACGTAGCTAACCATGCTAATTGGAGGTTCAGGAAAGGACAACCAACTAAAAACAGCAGTTCTACATAAGTGCGATTTCAAGCTCGATTTAAAAGTGTATCGCTCCAGTAGCTTTCTAATAAGCTCCAGTGACTTCCTAATAATAACCACTTATTAATTTTTAAAAAACGTCCGTGAAAAAATGTATACTTTTTTATTTTTGTTGAATTAACAATTAAAAGAAAAATATTAATACATAATAAGACTGTCAATATATAAAAGGTAAGGGTGCAGCCCTGCAATTATCTGCAGTTTTAAAGAAATTCGTTTTCAATCTAGTTTTAAAAGTGCATAGCGCTAGTAGCCTCCTAATATGGGAATGCAGAGCAAGTGAATATTAAACTTTTTTTTTTATCTTGGGGTGTTTTTTGAGGTCACGCTAGACTTGCTCAGAAACACAAACGGGTCCCTTGGCAGATTCGGTAAGGCACCTACCAAATGTTCATATCGCTGTAATGATGTATGTGTACAATTGCATTCAGGTACACCGCAAAACTTCTCTGCCTAATATTTATACGGGCTAATGTTTCGGCAGCACAAGGCAAAGTGCTTGGTTGGCACATAGTGCACTGTTATTGTTTTTGTAAACTGGATTAATTCAAGCATATATCATTAGAGTTAGCAATAAAGCACTTTACAGTAATTCATCCTACTTGACTGGACACACATCACCTCGCTGCCAGGTTGTATCATCCTTATCTCTAAATCTGGCACCAGCCAAGAAGTTCAACATACATACATTCCAGTGAACCCTGATCCCTCAAGCGCAAGCAACACACCAACGCGTTCTTCTGGAAGTTCTCTCACCTCGGATGACGTCGTTGCAAAGCTTCCGTACGTAATTATCTGCAAGTGGACGTCCCTGAAAAAAAAGTGTTTTTCTTGTGTGTTAATACAATGTGCTAGCATGTGGTGGGAATGACGAGGTCATTTAAGGTTGTATCGTTCATTTGCTTTATATTTTAAGTTCGCGTGTACGTCATTTACACGTTCGCAGTCTATTTATTTTCCCAAACTGGTGCCACATTATACAGAAAAAAACGAAAAGTACCATTTATAACACGGACATACTCGGTTAATGGTCCAAATTTTTGTTTGTTTTTTCATATACGGGTAGCATAGTAACAAACATGAAATCTCCCGCGGAACTCACCGGCCTGCCTTGGCGACCTGGATATCCTGGGAGGCCTTTGCCCCCTGTACTGCCAGAGATGCCGGATGGTCCCAAATTACCCACGGGGCCTGGGTCCCCTTTATGTCCATGCAGACCCCTCTCCCCTGGCAGCCCAGGCTCTCCTCTCTTGAAAACGCACACACACACACGTCAAGTCCAACGCACACAAGACAAATACGAATAGGTTTTACCAGAAAGGGTAAAAACCTATTCTTATTTGTCATACTCTGATACTCGCAACAACAGCAAAGGTCCCATGATATAACAGGTCAACGCGAGCTATAATTGCTCTGATACGTGTGGCATTGTCTTTGTACCGTTCACTTTTTGGCGTTCTCTGGTCTGACACTGATGAGACAAGGCCATGAAGAAGACTGTCTCTGGTGTAGGCCAATCAGTTTCAAAGACAATGCAAATATTATCAGAGCACGTTTGTTTTGCACCAGTACGTGTGCATGTTTTGCCAAAGTACGTGTGGGTAATGCAGACTTGATTCCTTGCAAAAAAAGGGTTTGAACATCGGAACACCTGTTTATTGCCTGAAAGGGGTAAAACCTATTCTTATATTTCATACACACAAAACAATCTTTCCATGTTTTTTTTTTACCTCAGATTATAGATCAGAGGTGAGGAACCTTTTCCTTACTGAGAGCAGGATAGGGCTTTCAAATACCTTGTGTGGGTCACACAATAGTTGACATTACATTTTGATCATGCTAGGGCCACATGGATTCACTGTGCGCTTAGAAGTACTCGCAAGACAACGCGTGAATGAGCATGGTAACATTATAAACAATGAAGCCAAGTCGAAAATATTTCCCTCTCGTACCAGATAAGCGCGGCTAAGATGCTTGCAGAGATGGATTAATATCAGTTGTGGGCCTTTTCGAAATGGTAGGTTTCACATCGCGATTGTAACGTTCTTACACGCCCCTACTGGACATCTGCGAGAAAGAGCCTGATAGCTTATCGGATTCTAATTCTGATGGGCTGTATGAAGGGTAAGAATTGGGCCCTAAGTTCCCCTGCTGTATGGGGCAAGTGCGAGCACCTATGAAGGCCCACGTGGCACACACAAGAGGGTGGCGTGACCATCACCACGCTTGGCCAACTTTGTCTGCCCAATGGAGATGTTGACACACCGGACAAGGTACGCATCATTCAATGCCGAGTCGACTTGGTGAATGCGCACCCACAGATGCAGATATAATTTGCGGCCGATGTCCACAGTTGTGAATCGAATCCAGATCATCAGGATCGTAGCAAAGTGAATGACCCAATTCAGTAACGCTCCACGGACACACAGACACATCAAATAACCCCTATATAGCCGTTTAGACTGTTCGGGCAAGTGCTGTTAGCAAACACTTAATAAAGCCAGCATAAGAGGTGTGTGTGTGGTCAGCATCAGGCCTGGTCAAATTTCTCTTTCCAGCGTTTGTCTTTACACACTTTAAAGAAGCTTCGACCTAAGATTACATTGCCACTTATGTTTACGGTCTGCAATTTAAACCGTATTCCTGGGTTCTTAGCGCAGCGCCTGATCCACTGCAGCTACGCATCCACACACAGACGAAAAAGCTCTCTCATAGAGCCCACCAGACGATGAACTTGTGAGTGTCAAGTCCGGCACATAAACTGTCGGGCGGTGTAGGCCGTGGGCGGTGAGGGGGCAGTTGGGCTATGACTTAGCTCTGCGTTGTTTTGATTAGGTTTAACAACTCTGTGGACACTTAGGTGCACTTGCTGTGTGATGTCCAGCCGATTTGAACTGCAAGGTTGACAGGAGATGGCAGCATGCCGCGATTAAGTTCATGAACCCATCTGTCGGGGGTTTGAGTCGTGTGCGAGGTGGGCTTTCGAATGGGTACTTCAGTTTCCTTGTAGAGGCAAAACGATCTTTGAAATTTAATGGGGGAAAAAAACATCCCAACGCAGGGATGTGTCCCGCAAAAAGTTGCGGCTCATTGAAAATTTGTTACGGATATATGTATTACATTAGTAGAAGTATTGAAATAGGCACTGCAATTTGCCCGCAGAATTCCAAATATGTTTACAGGTCACAACACGCACCCGCATAAATAATACAACACGAGTTGGTATTTTAATGTAAGTGGTACAAATACTGCAGTACCAAAGAAAAGGACACCATAACTAAATAACATACATTTTCTTTCAAATCATAAAACTGAAACGACTTCCTACATGCCCACGCACATAATTTATGTGTGCTTCCAAACGTAGATATGGTTTATAAACATTTGCATCATGCATACAGACACGCACTCGATAGTGGCACTGAAGATACATGTGCTTTCATCGTTTTTTTGCAATAATAAGAGTGCCTAAGTGCTTCCAGGCCAAATGAAGTCCCTGTATATCCATATAATTGCATATAATTTACGTATACGTGACAAACCTTGCTTATGTGACAAACCTGACGAATTGGCTGTGTCGGGTGGTGGGGCGTTTTCATGACGCATTTATATTTACGCAATCTATCGAAGATAATGTACATATAATAAATAATACACAGCCATTCACCAATCCTCTGCTGGATGAAAGCCTCTCCACCACACCGTTTGGTCACGGGGGATGTTTACCAGACTTTACCACGCTGGTATACGTGCAGGTTTGGTAAAGCAGGTGCCCAGAACCCGTTCAGATATCGCTCACTACTGGAATTCATTGCGGCCGGGCGGGAATTGAACTCAGGTCGCCGAGCTCACAACGCATTTCCTCGTCCACTACGCCACCGTTGGACCTAATATTAAACCACGCTTAAGTGAATTTAAACAAGTTATATCCCAAACACCACGACACGTGTGGCTTTCGGGTGCTATGAAGAAAGTGAATAAAAAATACACAAGTTTGAACAAACAAAGTGGGGAGGGGGGGGTGACAGAGTGATACTGATTACGTGGCAAAATACAGTGATTGTTAGATTGTGATATCCTCCTCGTGGAATAAATTCACCCATTGTGCAAAGAGATCAATTTGCTAGGGCGCAGATGTAATTGGCAAGCAGTGATGCAAATCTTTATTTGACTGGATACTAAATTGCAGATATATAACCAATTACGTTTTTTTGGTTGGAACTGCGGATGTAATTATAAAACGTAATTAAATATATCTAAAAATAGAGCCATCGCCGAGAGGGTGAAGCAATGAGGCATGCTCAAATGGAACAAATCCCTCGGTAGATGTGCGACTAAGATGAAGAGCCACGAACAACAGCTGCACAGCACACAACTTGGGGCGCTATTCCCAATGACACGCTTGCTCCACTAGGCGGCAGTGTGATGCTGCTGTCCCAAGCAAAATGACAGCCGAGAAACAAAATAATGCGCGAGACCGGCCCTCGGCAGTGGTGCAGGCGAGAACAAGGGGAACAAAAAACGTCGCCACGTTGGTCATTAGCACTGCCTCGTGCTCTGTACAGCCTGTTTGTCAATCCAGTGCTGAAAAAAGACTGTGTAAGACACCAAGGATAAATCTAGATTTGAAGTTTTCGCGACTGCAGGGATCCATACTCTTTGGTTCTTTCGGTAAAGTCACGTGGGTAGAAAATAAAACAAATAAAATCACGACGTTTCGGGCGCAACACAAGTGTCCGTCATCAGGTGGGACAACCACAGCAGAAAACAATTGCTGAAGTGGGCAAAAGGGCTGCTGTAACAATAGGCTATATAGGTAAGATGAGTGACGCTTGTTTTGCGACCGAAACGTCGTGATTTTATTTATTTTATTTTATACCTACGTGACTGCCGAAAGAACCAGAGTAAAGACACCAAGAGGTTTTTTCATGATAATGTTTTATTATGTATTTGTTTTTATTTCCTTTATTAGCAAATACTATTTGTTATTTATTTATTTCCTTGCGTAATCTTATTTTTTTATTTAATATTTAGTTTAGTTACATGTTATTTATTATTTATTTAAGGGGCGCCACGGTGGTGTGACGTGATCTTCCTCGCGTGGTATACAGGAGGCCGGGGATTCGATCAAGATCCCGATCCCGACGCTGACGTGTGTATATTTGGAGTTTGCGTGTTATCTCTGTGGTCCCGTGGATATTCCTTTTTCCTCCGGCTTCTCCAGTTTTACCCCTCCACATTTAGAAACATGCGTTGAGATAATTTTGCTGCTTTGCATTTCCACATGATAGGCCACTTTGTTGAGCTATCATTTGTGGCAAGGTCGCTTCTGAAAAATAAGCTCATAGGTCAGTGGGCTTTACTTGGTAAGATAAAAAAAAATAGTTTCGTTTTATTTGCATATTTTAAGTGATTTGTTTACTTTTCCAATACTTTGCACTCCGATCGTGTTTTTTTGTTTGTTGTTGTAACGCACGAACCCGTCCCTACTGGATGTCTGTGAAAAAGAGCTTCATTGCTCATCAGACTCCTCCAGTATAAATACATATTTTTAATTCTGATAATTTTACCATACTTTACCAAGCTAGTATGTTTGTAATATGAGGATGCACCCGGGGGTAACTGGGCGATGGTGAAAGGCTCTGCCGGCCTCTGCCCGCAGCCAATAGGACGTCGAGCCAAGGGCGTAGCCCTGGGGCTGTATAGCAACCTCTAGAAGGTTCCAGGGGAGAGGCTTATAATTGGCTGCGTGGCATCACGTGAGCCAGGTGATATAAGGGGCAGAGAGAGACAGTTAGTGGTCAGTGTGAAGAGCTTGGAGGAGAGACCACGTCTTGTGCCTCCGGCACGCCAGCGGCCACGTGGCAGGCCGGAGGCTGTCTCCCGACGCCGTTAGCCAGCGGTGTGGGGGAGCAAGGAAAGCAAGCGAATGCCACGCTCGATAGAGAGTAACGGGAGTAACGGGAAAAAGGAACCCAGCGGTGTGAGAGATAGAGAGAGCTGTGTAAAAGAAGAACGAATAAAGACAAGAGAATACGATATCGTCCGGAGTGGGATAATATTGGTCGCTTTCGCAACCTCTTATGGATAATATTGGTCGCTTTCGCGACCAATATTATCCATAAGAGGTTTTTTGGGATTAGACCGTGAAAATATTAATGTAGTTTTGTTTGTCACGTAAACAAAAATCTGCCAATTCGTTACTAGTTCAGCACACCAGTGTGTTAGAGAGTAAACCCACAACATTTACAATTTTACAATTGTAAGTAATTCTAAATGTTGTGGCTTCATTCTCCAATACGCCGGTGTGCTGAACTAGTCTGTCGGGGAGACAGACAGCTGTCTACCCGACAGACCTGGTCTTCACCTGAGGACGGCTGCTTGCGTTGTGGCCGAAACGTCGTGAGAATTATTTTATTATGTTTTATTTTTATTATTTTATTACTTCCCTTCTACGTGACTTTACCGAAAGAACCAAGAAGATGAATCCCTGCAGTCACGAAAGCTTTAAATCGAAAAGTATATTGAATGTTTGTAATTGCTGATCTACACACACAAGTTGGCCAAAACACTTCAGATGCTTTATTGCGATAATTCATACTGCCAACATAAAACGTACTGTGACGTAAAACGTGGATTTACGTTTAAAGATACTTTCTTTAAAATCAATAGAGATCCTACCAACCGCCTGGTTATGAAAACCAACAATATCATCACTGATTCGACATCTTTAATCGAACCAACCAAGCAGCTCTCTCTAAAACCCTTTGCTGCTCGACCACCCAGATTTTATGGCTTACCAAACATCCATAAAGAAGGTACACCACTCCATCCTATCGTCTCCACCATTGACTCACCCACCTACAAACTGGCACGATTTCTATCTGAGACCTTGCTGCCATTCACTGGCAAGACCACCTCAGCTGTACTCAACTCGGCTCACCTGGTATCTCTAATTAAAGACATCTCACTATCTCCAGATGATTAGCTTGTCAGCTTCGATGTAGTTTCTTTGTTTACCAAAGTTCCTGTGCCTGAGACCATTGCAATCATTGAAGATTTGGTCCAACAAGGACTGAATGCTGATGTACCGGCCCTGGTGAGACACTGCCTCACCAACATTTACTTCACCTGGAATGGAACATTCTACAAACAAGTTGACGGTACCCCAAATGGGTGCTCCCTTATCTCCAGTGGTAGCCAATGTTTTCATATACATTTTTGAGACAGATGCCATCCAGACATCCATCCTACGTCCTTCCTTGTGGAAGAGATACGTAGATGACACGTTCGTCATCTGGCCACATGGCCTGCCAGCTCTGAACCAATTCTTCAACCACATCAATTCTATACACCCAGCCATCAAATTCACCATGGGATTGGAAAAGGATGGCAAGTTACCATTCTCGAATGTTTTCCTCGAAAAGAGACTAGATGGCTCATTGTGACACTGTCTACATGAAAGCCACCCACACGGATGGGAGAGAACCACCTGAGGACCCAATCAAAACCATCACCTTGCCATACATAGCAAGGGTCACCAAAAAGATTTCCAAAATCATGAGCAAACACAAGATCCAGGTCCGATTCAACACAGTACATAACATTTGTGATTTGATCCCATCTGTGAAGGATGTGATCCCTGACATGCAATACCCCGGCGTCTACAAACTAAGCTGTGTCTGCGGCAGTAGTTATATTGGGGAAACTAGGCGACATGACTCAGACCGTGTTCACGAACACAAGGCAAATCTGAGACACGGTAGGTCCAACACCTCTGCCGTGGCTGATCATTGTTTTTTTTAATGCTGTGGGCACACATGAAATGTATTACTCCAAGACACAGGTACTATGCAAACCCACTGGCTATCAACAAAGATTTGTTCATGAAGCCATCCAGATATATAAACACAGAGACAATTTCAACGAGAAGATGGGTACAAACTGAGCAATCATTGGAAGGACGTTATTAACCAGGTAATGTCATAACTGGCTGTGATGCTTCCATCCTACCTGCATATGTTAGCAGTTATTTCCGACTCTCTGAGTTACATTAACTTGTTAAATATATTTACATTAACAGGCTAAATGTCTAACTAACATAGCTGCTGCTCCCCTTTCCCTCGATGCGGCGGTGGCGCTCGTTGTATAATCGGCTGAATGTGTCTCATTAACACAGCCGCTGCAGCGGGAGCCGTCTCACATTGACATGCTAATCTCCCATCTCGAGCAATGCAATGGCTTATTCAGCACCGTAGCTATGGGGTTACATTAACAGATTGATATGCTAATCTCTAACAAGACAATAGCCGGGGTATACCTTGCTCTGCGATCTTACATTTACTTGCAATTTCCATCTCTAGCCCCGCCCACTTACCCTTGGGTTGTACCCATCTAAAACCTTTATAACCTTTGGCTGCAGTAGTTCTCTCGCTACATTTCTTCCTGCCTCAGCAGTCCGTCTGCTGTATGTTTTCACCTGAAGACGATTGCTTGTGTTGCGATCGAAACGTCGTGATTTTGTATTATTATTTTTCTATCTACGTGACTTTACCGAAAGACCCAAAAAGTATTAATTCCTGCAGTCACGAAAGCTTTAAGTCAATATTTATTTAATAAGTTACAAGAGCAATCATCATGTATCTTTAGAACTGCATTTGTTGTGCTTTACACCCATTTTTACCCTTACTGTGTTATCGATGGTTTGCGATGACATGAATATTCCATTCGCAACTCCATGGGGGAAGTGTAACCCCCTTTCCACCCCCCCACATGTCCCCCCCCCCCCCATGTTAGGGAATGCTAAAGCTGCCTGCCTGGATTCAAACCCCGCCTCTCAGCTCATGGTTCTGACCCTTTGCGCCACGTGACCCTGAGCCTCTGAGCCAAATGGCCAAATCTTGAATAATACAGATGTCATACAATTTGTCTTCTATTAAATGATAAACAGTTTTTCATACATACACACATGCATGTAGGTATATGCGTGCCTACAAGTATTAAATGGGAAGAGCATATCTTCCAGTTTGACTGCTCTTCGTGGCTTTTGACACAGGCTTTCACGAAACTTGGCACAAGAGCACCACCTCGTATTGGCATTAATGCCACATTTCTCACCTCTCCCTTGGGTCCTGTAGGTCCACTGTCTCCCTGGGAAAACAAATGCAGTCTTAAACAAAAAAAATCAATGAAATTTTTATTTGAGCATGAAAAGGGTCCATTGAGATATAAAAAAGTGGTTTACAAGAACAACATAGTCAACATAGGTATTGCAGAGATGCCAGCAACTAAATTTGGATTAACTGTTTTAAAAACAAACATGTGAGGATAATTAAATGATTATCTTGAAAACAGAAGAAAACCTAGGTGCGTATACATGCACTTCATGACTTTCTCACACTTATTTTACTGTATGCATCATTTGTGAAATCAATGTGAGGTGTTTATAGCAGCACTGTAACAATTTGCTTCAGTCACAATTCAATACATTTTCATGATTCGGGGTTGCAACTCAAGTATCAATTCGTTACGTAATATCTTGAACAAAAAACATCGATTCTTAGCCATGCAATTTTTTGCAGGTATTGTAAGCTGAAGAATAGATATTCGTCTATGAATCTGAGCATCGGTCCAATGTTCCTTCCGTTTCTTTAGGTAGAAAAATGCTTGTTGTTGCGGTGTATTACGTTTTTGTATGTATTTATGTAAGTTTAACTCGCACCGCACGTAGCCAACCGTGCTAATCGGGAGGTGTGGCGCAAGTACAACTGAAAACAAAAAGCAGTTGTAAAGAAATGAGATTTCAAGCAAGATTTACAAGTGTATGGCTCCAGTAGCTTCCTAATAATAAACACTTTTAAATAAAAAAAAACGTCCGTGAAAAAAGGATACCTTTTATTGTAGAATTCATTATTTGAAGCAATGTTTTAATAAATAATAGGAAACTGTCATTATATCAACGGTAAGGGTGCAGCCCTGCAATTATTTGCTTACACTACTGTTGGCACTTAAGGGAGCGCTAGAGCTTGTCTGGAGGTTATATGGCTTATTTGTCGACACTGGCAAGACCAGGGGTCGGCAACCAAAATAACAAGAGACATTTTTTTTCATACTTGGTAAAAAAAAAATCAAGAGCCGCAATACCATGTGAATGCAAGACGGTGATCATCAATAAGCAACATCACGAAGCAGTCCTTCGTGATGTTGCTAAATTGGACTCCCATGGTGAACTGGACTTTCGTGGTAAACTGGACTTCGGTGGTAAATTGGACTCCCATGGTGAACTGGACTTTCGTGGTAAACTGGACTTCGGTGGTAAATTGGACTCCCATGGTGAACTGGACTTTCGTGGTAAACTGGACTTCGGTGGTAAATTGGACTCCCATGGTGAACTGGACTTTCGTGGTAAACTGGACTTCGGTGGTAAATTGGACTCCCATGGTGAACTGGACTTTCGTGGTAAACTGGACTTCGGTGGTAAATTGGACTCCCATGGTGAACTGGACTTTCGTGGTAAACTGGACTTCGGTGGTAAATTGGACTCCCATGGTGAACTGGACTTTCGTGGTAAACTGGACTTCGGTGGTAAACTGGACTCCCATGGTAAACTGGACTTTCGTGGTAAACTGGACTTCGGTGGTAAATTGGACTCCCATGGTGAACTGGACTTTCGTGGTAAACTGGACTTCGGTGGTAAATTGGACTCCCATGGTGAACTGGACTTTCGTGGTAAACTGGACTTCGGTGGTAAATTGGACTCCCATGGTGAACTGGACTTTCGTGGTAAACTGGACTTCGGTGGTAAATTGGACTCCCATGGTGAACTGGACTTTCGTGGTAAACTGGACTCCCATGTTAAACTGGACTTCCATGGTAAACTGGACTTCCGTGGTAAATTGGACTCCCATGGTGAACTGGACTTTCGTGGTAAATTGGACTCCCATGGTGAACTGGACTTCCATGGTAAACTGGACTCCCATGGCCAGGGCTTCGACAACCAAAATAACAAGAGACATTTTTTTCAAATTCGGTAAAAAAAAAACTTCATATTTCAAGAGTTGCAATGCAGCCCTTCAAGAGCCGCATGCGGTTCCGAAGGCGCAGGGTTGCCGACCCGTGGGCTCGACATATCGGAAGAAGTAGCAGGACCCACGCTTTGCCCCCACCACACACAGCCTACAGGACTACCCATTCATACTGATGAGTGGGACAGCAAAATGAGAGAGGGTGGGGAATCGAAGAAACTTGCAACGTTGTTGCAACATTCTTGCCAGGAGGTCAAACCTGCAACCTCAGAATCTTAAAATTTAGTCTGCGAACCATTTCATGATAGCAGAATCTTGCCCACCATTGTATAAAAGCAATACAAACACATATTCTACAGCTTAAAAGCAAAAATATTCATTCGTAGAAAAATATATTGACATATTTTTTTAATCAATTGTGCATTAATAAAAGATGCTTGGAGGGAAGTTGCAAACGTGTGCCCGCAAAGGACTTTTTAAATGAGGGAAACTGGGCCCCACGAGCAGTGAGAAAGGGCTGCCCAAAAAAGCTTCTAGGTAACAGCTGCATGTTTGCGAGGCATGCTATGATTTATGAATTACCTATGAATATTTAAACCCTTCTGAGTTCACCGATAAAATATTGCTGCAAAATACATGCAAAATCAGCAGTAGTGAAGGTAGTAGTGAAATGAAATTTAGAATCGAATCTAATTATGCAAAACATGCATACACCTCTAGCAGCGCATCTCACCAAGAAAAGTAATACTCTTCTAGAAAGTTGGGGAAGTATAATTGTTTAATTTTATTAACAATGAAGTGTTCCCATCTCGCAAAATGAAACAATGGCACAACTTGCTAAAATGTCTCTGAGTAGAGGAAGCTCAGTGATGACTATGTCCGAAGAATAACACAGCGCCACTAAGATGCTGGATTTCAACTCAGGAAGCTGCACGAGATAACTTTGAGATTCTAAAGCGTGGAATGTTCATTGTCTCAGACAGTTCACCAAAAAAAAACTCAAGCAACTTAAAGTTGCCTTTGTGCTGATCGTTTCCGGACTACTTTCTGAGCACGACATTTCTATTATCCTTCATGTATAAATTCATATTTGTATTTATAGGGCACTTAAACACATAAGCAACTCAAAGCGCCTCATATCACATCTTGTTTCAACCATTCCAATTCCCTGCTGCAGTCTTGCCAAGGGCACCCCAGTGCCAGCTGTACCTCTGTGGAAACAACGTGCAAAAGCAGCACCTGTCTACAACTGTTGCAACATGGTTTTCCCCAATTTTAGTATGTGGGAGGAGTTTTAAATATTTCGCAAATTTGTACCATGATGCCATGTATATCAAATTCCTGATGTGCAGCACACGATTTACAGAGAATGAAGGAGTACCGTAGGGTGTTGATTAAGAGTGGCCTTTTGAAGACATTTTACATGCAGCTCTATTCACAGATTTCTTCTCATGGCTCGTATAGTGCAATTGGAATATAAGTTGTTTCAAAACGAGGAAAAAAATCTAATTTGAAGGGGCATTCTTGATTTATATTTATTCGGCACGTAAACCACGCATAATTCCAGACTAATGATTATGTTAATATCCACGGTGCAGGTGCAGTGTAGTAGAACGACACTACTGTATTGGCTCCGTATGGGTGCTGTAGGCAGGTGTCACGGGGGTCGTGTCGGGCCGTGACACTCTGCGTAAACCCCACAGGACACGTGACCGGATAAAGGGGGGCCAGGGGCCCCAGGGGGGTCACGTGGTTGGGGGCTCGGGCCTTCCCAAAGGATCGGGAAGGGGATCGGGAAGGGCAGCGTGACCTGGGGCGGAGCCGGCCACGCCGGAGTGGTTATAAGTGGGGGGGTAGACGGAGAGTGGGGCTGTTCTGCTATGCTGCTGGGTCAACTCTGGGATGAAGCTGTCCGATCTCCGCTAGTGGACCAGGCAGCGTGTTGGGCTGTCCTGGTCCAGTGCTGTAGTACCCCCGTGGGTTAGCTAAGTTAGCAAAAGCTGGCCACCACCTCAAGTCGTGATGCTAAGTGTTGTTAGCTGTGGTGTTAGCTAATACATAGTGTTGCCTCCAAAGTCCAGTGTGCGCCTGAATTTAACCCAATACACAGGTAATGTTGTGTGCACGAGAATAGATTATTTAAAACGTATTCAAATTAAATGCGAGTATATGCTGATGTAGTGTATATTCTCGCAGTGTGAGCAGTTCTTTACAAATGTGACAGAAAACGAAGCAATGAGAAGAGCGCCCAAGCACAGCTAAGACAGAATTGATCCTGAAATGGAGTAGCAACCCTGAATCGTGTGAATCGATCAAATGGATGGGCAATGAATCACTGCCGTGCGCAATATTTACATATTAACTTTAAATAATTTAGCCCCTTCGATGACGTCACTAAATATACCACCTATTCTTCACAACAGTGAGCGTTACAACACTATGACGGCCTCGCGCTCGAGAGGGAACAGATATATATACGGGGATTACTGGATAATGTTTAGCACTGCAGCTGAGTGTCACCTTTACGTTGTCAACATACGAGAACTCAGCACATCCAGAATACTTGGTGGCCTCTGGCTGGCTGACTTCATGTTTGGGAAATAGCCTACGACCAGTGCAAGTCCCTCAGCTTATTTAACAAATCATCAGTGCAGGCTTATGAACAGCAGGTTTCAAGGTATGTGGACTGTCAATTCAATGTTTTTTTTTATCAACATGGCTGGATTACTGCATGTCACATTCTAAAGTTCCATTTACTTTGGAATACATTACAAGGCAAAGGTGCAGCCCTGCAAGTGCCTTGCAAGGTCTCCACAAGAGGGAGCTCGAGAGGGCCCCTCCATCGGATATTTGGCCTCCTATTCCAGACAAAGTCCACTGAGCTATATCGCTCTTTTTCAGAACCAACCTGGCCACAAATGATAGCTCAACGAAGTGGCTTACCACGTGGAAATGTATAGCAGCCAAATACTCTCAACGCGTGTTTCTCAACTGCTGGGTGGACCGAGGAGGAGGGCTTTAAGAATCGTCACTGAAACTTCAACTGCTGTGCCAGGAGATTAAACCCGCGACCAGGGGAGTGCAAGTCGAAGAATGTGCGAACTATTACACCATGGCTGCTTCTATTCGAGTCTGATGCAGTCCCTTCACAAATGAGCTGATATAAAACAACATTTTGGTTCCCTTATTAAACAAATTTTTGCCTGTGGAAGGATTTAATTGAGGAATGTCCGTCTCATCCGTCAACATAAAGTAATAACAACTGTGGTACATTAGATAAAAACAATCTATTGGGAATAAATCGGTAAAGGATTAGGTTGAAGAAAATAAATGAAAGGTATTTATATCATAGGCAAAATGGAGTGTTATCTTTTACATCTTTGGGGTTTTAGGGAATATATGAAGTAATTTTTTTTGTGAATAAAAGAATACAATTATGAATTTAAAATAAAAAAATAACAATCCCTGCTTTGTTGCTTGACCGTTTGGGATGGGGATGGGGATGAGGGAGGATGGGGATGAGGGGGGATGGGGATGAGGGGGGATGGGGATGAGGGGGGATGGGGATGAGGGGGGATGGGGATGAGGGGGGATGGGGATGAGGGGGGATGAGGGGGGTGCCTTCATCCAGCAGTGGATTGTTCACGTCTGAAGATGATAATAACATAAACCACCTCACCTTGTCTCCTGACAATCCGTATGACCCTTGGATGCCTCTGTCTCCCTGAGGGGAAAATGCAAAATATTCGTGGCAATGAAATGGCTCAGCAATGATTGATACACAGAATGTACATGACAAACACACGCTCCAAACTCGTATTGGTCTGAAAGCACTATTCTGCAGCGAATAACAGACTGGATAATGATGGGCACGGCTTTGTGATACACTGCATCTCTACAGAGGACAGCTTTTGCATTGTAATGCTTTTAACACGAAATTAAATCCGTCCAAAACGTGGTCAGGTTGTACTGTGTCATGTTCAGCATGTCTGACACTGTTGCAAATTTCTTCAAGAACTGTTTGACTTACCTACATCAAAATTATTAATGTTACTATCATTACTGTATGTTGTACTTCTTTCGCACCATACGTAGCCAACCGTGCTAATCGGAGTTGTGGATTATTATATAATTTTGTAATATATAATTTCAACTCGTAACGTGCACAGTATTTGTTCACTCTCGTGGAGAGGGAGAGAATGACTTACATACGCGAGGAAGCTCAGGCAAGCAGGGAAGCAGCCACACGATAAGCAGGCACTAACAATTGCCCATGCTCTGAGGTCCTCTATATATTAAGATGTTATTGACAAAGTCATGAGCATTTACATGTGGAAGGAAACTGGAGCACCCGAAAAAACACACACACGTGTGAGGGGGAAACACGATCCCATACAGACGGAACTGACCAGTTAAATCAATAGTTTTTTTAGGTTTTTTATTTAGAGGATATCTTGGTTAACTTACTTTTGGGTCACTATATATTCTATCATTTGATATGTATAATATATATGACTGTTGATTTCAGTGTATGTTTAGCATAAGTCCTAAAACTATTTAAACAAATGTCACCCTAATGGCTTCATGACAAAATAACCTTCGTGGCTACACGTGACATACACAGACATTATTGATGCTGCTTAAGTAAAATGATGCATGCCTGCCTAAAGCCATACCAACAACAACCTTGTAAAAGACAGATGTTTGTATGTTCCACTAATGGTATCCGGAGGAGCACTAGACTGATGCTGATAGCTACTGAAAACTTTCTAGCCCTGAGCAGTTGCAATTTCGAGTGCCTTTCATCCATAACAATTTTAGGGAAACTTATTTTGAGCAAATTACGTTTCATATAACTGGTCAATCATCACGGCTTGTAGATTCGCTGCATCCCATGCGAGTTTTTGGTTGTGTAATGAAACATTAATTAAATATGAACGGAATTACTGTAATTCGATTTCTGAGGTTCTTAAACAAGGCTCTGCAGCTGCTGTGAATTTTGTGAAAGTAATATGTTGGTCACTATTCCTACAAAATGTAAAGATGTTTTCAAATAATAAAATAAAACCGATCATACATGCTTTAAAATTGCAATTCTTCTGTTTATGCATAGGATATATAATATTTTGAGATTTTAAAAAATATATCTGCCAAGTTTGTTTTATACCCTCTCAAATGCTGGGCTGGAACGTTATTGCCATAATGTAATGTATTATCATTGCCTATCATGCATTATCATTGCCTATCATGCATTATCATTGCTTATCATGCATTATCATTGCCTATCATGTATTATCATTGCCTATCATGCATTATCATTGCTTATCATGCATTAGCATTGCCTATCATGTATTATCATTGCATATCATGCATTATCATTGCCTATCATGCATTATCACTGCCTAACATACAGCTGGAGATATAAACACATAGCTACCTCTTTGTATTATAAACTTTATGCTATTATTGCAATGACACATATCCCAACTCGCCGGGGACTGAACTATAGGCAGATATGTAAAAAGATCGTATATGTGAAAATCTAATCACAATTATCTGTACACCATGTTAAAAATAGGCTAAAGGGGGGAATTAAAAGTGCAAACTGTTTTGAATGTTTGACCATGCAACTTTTGATTTTGATCTATAGTTCCTGAAATATACGTAGAAGCAGTGGCAGCTCCTGCAAAATCTCTCAGGGGGGGGCAAATGTCTGGATGATTGATAAGGATAAGGTCCACCCATGCAATGGATAAATTAACAGCTTAAGCATGTAAAGGCAACTTCACTTCTTTAATATTAATGAAAAATAAAGTGACTCTTACAATACATCTTGTTTGTTTCTATACTCACTATTAATACAATCCACTCAAGTTTCTTTTATTAAAGATTCCACTAGGTGGCGACAAATAATTTTGTTGGATGAAACGTCCTTACGTATGATGACGTAAGCACGTTAGTGCGAGCCCTCCCGGAAGCCATAGAGAATGCATTGCATCGCCCCCCGTTCGAAAAAAAACATCTTTGAATGTAAGTCTATGGGGCTACTCGGGGAGATTCTCAGCCGGAGTGAAATCGCCCAAAAAGAGGCGGTACTCCACAGAACGTGACATGACGCTGATTGGACTATATCCAGAGGCACAGTGACGGCTAGCGTGACTCTGTGGTTGAATGACATTGGTGGTGCGTCGCCCAATCGCCCTAATGAAGAAACCGCCCCTGCGTAGAAGTAAGAATGTACTACTGCGTGTGAAAAGGTCAGATGTATGTGCAGATAATGACAATTTACACCGTGCACAAATACTGGGCTGGGTTTGGAAAGTTAATTAGTCAGAGCAGATGCGTGACAGTTGGGATATATGGCGACGTTGCACTGCAAAGCCTTTTAGACTGTTGGTACAAGGCATCTTGGCAAACACCATTATGCAAGCAAACAAACACACACACGTTTTCCTGAAAACGCACACGTGGTCGAATAGACGAATAGGCAACAACAAGAAAACTTACTTGGTGGCCAGGCAATCCTGCCTCTCCTTTCTCACCCTGAAACAACAAAGTGTAGCCTATTCATCCGATAATACGGGCAGTACTCGGTACAAACATATAATCGTGAAGTCATTGTTGAGCTACAATTAAAACTGAAAACTCAAAAATTACGCGACTACGAGACAACCTGCGCACAATCGTGCAGAAGACTGCGTTTATTGTGGCAGCTTCCCTCGTATGTAAATTACTATTAAACATGTAAAAACTGTGCAATGTTTTGCATTTTATAGAAAACAAATGCTTGGCATTTAAGTGAAAAGTCACTGCTTTTTGGTAGATAATTTTAAAGGAGAGTTGTAATAACTCATAATTGTATTACATTTTTTTTAAATCGACATTGAATGAACGTCACTTGTGTTCTCTGTTGGGGAAAACATATTTCACCATCGCATTCAAAACCAAATAAACTACATGGGGCATTGAAATTAACTCAAAATTGCCCTATGTGCTGGAATGTCATCATCCTTTTTGCAATATCGCACCTTTTGACAGAGGCGACGATGGGATTTTCAGGTTAGTTGTGTTACAATTCTAATATTCCATCCCACAGATATTGAGTTTAGAAGGAGCATGGATTGAGGGTCGGGAGGTGCGGGAGGGACATGGATGGGGATGAAGAAGGCACACACACATGCGTATCTGTGGTCATGGCTTGTTTTGGAATTCTTCGACATGTGACCAATTTCAACTGCAAGGGCAGGAAAAAGGTTCGTCAATGCATGGAAGCCTAACAACAACAACAAAATACATCACAGGGCGAGAGCCAATGTGTGGTTTGGGGTATGCTCCTGGTGTTCTTGTTTTGCATTCGCTCTGCATGTCAAAACCTCCCTGTAACGAGCGCCCAATGCGGAGGCTTCAATAAATGATGCTGATTGCCTCATATTTCCAGCCATTGACTGCACTAATTTTGGCAGTGTACTTCATCACACATTAAAGTGCGTGGCTCTCTTCGTTTCTTACCAAGCCTGCCCTCCTCGCTTGACTTCATTATTTTACAACAAGAAAACATTACAAAAATATATTGCACATCTCATCGCTGAACTGTTCGTGCCATGAAAAATTAAACACATGCTCGGATTTTTCACACACCGTATATATGAATGCTGAATCGGGTAGCCATATGTTTTTTTTTGTCAAACCGATGCACATATGTTCCTCAGACAATGAACGCAATCTGGCCATTTGAATCTTCCAGATTAATATTAGGATGTTATCTTTCCATTTTCATTGTACGACACAACCTTCAAATACATATTACATTAAAAGGCAATGATTATGTATAAGCTCAGCTAAAAAGCACACCTTTAGCCGACAAGAATACTGTTTATTTGATGAATAAACATATTTCATTTGAACAAAAATAAGTAATTTCTACCACCAGCTTCTTTACTACACAACCTCCTTAAAAGGGGCCTCTTCATTTTACCAAATAGATTTTATCTTTCTCGCTAATTATATTCTGGATGAGCTATCATGGCTATGTTACTGAGAATATCAGTTCGGAATTCGACTCCTCCAATTGACCTAGTTTCTACACTCTGGACACTGCATGTTCCCATAGAGCCTGCAACAGGGATGCTTGGCACCTGGCAGTCAAATGAAAGTTTTTCATTTTGCCAGTTTAAGAGCTGGAATTTTGCCAAATATAATGGCAGTTTTTGTGTGTGTCTGAAGCTACTGGTGACCTGGCTGAGACGACCGGCTCGCTACATTTGAACACGTGGCTTTAGTCACAGGTGGGTTGCCCAGAATATGAACCCAGGGCCTCATCAGTGCCGGTCCAGTGCTCAGACGCCTGAGCCACTCAGTCACTCCCAATATTCCGCATTCGCCATCGACGATGCCTCGGTTAAACTAAATAAGGTTGTTAGACTTCATTTTCGTCACGTGAGAACCAGAGGCGAATCTAGAAACTGCCCATGGGATGTGGGCCTGAGATTTTTTTTAAAAATGTGTTTTTCAATAGGGCCCTAAGTTAATGCAAAAAAAAGACACGAAATGTATATTTTCTTGGTAAATATCGATATACTACCAATTTTATGAGTCTCAGAGGGGGAAGGGGGCATGGGGGTGAGGGGTCTTTGCCCCTTTCCCCCACTCCCCTTTTCTCCCACTCGTGGGAACTGAGTGAGAAAACGAGTCCCATTTGCGACGGTGACCTGGATCAACGGGTGACAAAAGTGAAGTGCATTGCTGCAGACCAAACGCACGTAGAGCAACAGAGAGAATCAACAGGGAATATTAATTTGTACACATCGTCGTTAAACAAGACTGTCAACGCAAACAGAACATATGCAAACAACACAGTTAAGGCCATCTCACAAATGTACCAGCGTTGGAAAACGTAATTCTTTCACAAGGAGAGTGCAAAATTAAACCAGAAGGGGCAGAAATGTGATTAGGAAGAACTGTACGAAACATTTCCAAGCAAATAATCTATGTGTTTTTAGACTTCATAAGAACACCCAATTGTTGCAGTTATATGCAACCTCCTGAATTAATGAGCACTCAGAAACTGGTATTAACCATAAGTACGTAAAATAAGATGTGTGGTGTGTCTTATATTAAAAGGGTTAAAACCTGGAAAAGCAAGCCAGATAAACTTTAAGGCAGCTCTCAATTGGTTGCTGGGAAAACAAACTGAGACCAATGTAGGTCTGTCTGACAACATAATGGTCAGATCACCTGATTTACAGCAGATGTCACTGCTAAACCCACCGATCCTCATACAGAATAAAGTGTAAGGCAGAAGTCAGGCTCAAATCCAATTTCATGCGTGTCTGTTGAACTTATTTCACACCTTATGGATCCTACCGTGATAATCGGAGGTGCGGGGGAAGGACAATGAACTAAACACAAAAGCAGTCCTCAAGACACTAGTTTTCAATCTATATTTAAAAGTGCGTGGCTCTAGTAGCTTCTTAATATCGGATGCAATAGCATTCCGGACAGCAGCAGAAGCGCATCTGAAAGCGCACAACGCAGTGACCATCTTTGATCGATGGCTAGCCAAAAGCCGCTACGAGAATGACCGGAGTTTGTGTGATGGTGTATGCTCCTTGACGAGATCAGCAAAGTATTGTGGTTCATGTGTGGTAAACACTTTGTGTGCAATGAATGCGATCTTATAATGTATTCGTTCGACAACCTGAAGCCAATGGAGGTCAGCGAGCCCCAGACGGACAAGGTCGGATCTTGCAGTACCCGTCATGACACGTGCCTAAGCATTTTGTACATGCTGCAGTTAGAACCGTGCTGAGTGAATGTGTAAATCACATCCCTCGTAGTCTAGCATAGGCATGACAGCAAAGACGATAAGCTGATTGCGAATGGGTATTGAAACACTTTTTTATATAAAAAGTGAACCTAACGTGGGTATAATTTATTTCCAATGCTTTGCATACGTTACTCAAATGTACGTGGAAACTGAGCCAGATTCTCAGACAAGTTGGATTTAAGTGTCGATGGTAGAGCAGCATGCACGTGTTTAGAGAGAAACCGTGCCAAGGGTATGAATCAAGATTACTTAAATATAAAGAAAAAGCATTTGGCATTACATAAATAATTTCCCGTTTAATATTATTGGAACCAAATTGCAAATTTGATTGGACTTCATCAACAAAAGTGACAAGCACAGAAATAATAATACTGTCAGCAAAGTAAATTTTTCAGTGGGTTAGTTTTAAGGCCACTACAAGACAGTCAACCACAGAAAGGAAGGAATGGAAGCACCACAGGGATGCCTTTACCCATTAGTGCAAAGTAACGCTGACAACAGCAAACAACCGTTTTGAGCTGACGTTTCATAAATGGAGAAAAAGAGTGGGCCAAAATCAGGATTGCATGGAACTCCTTTGAAGATCGAGGAGAAATCTGATTGAGTGTTCCCAAATGTTCTGCATTTTTTTGCTACTCTCGAAATAATTATAAAACCAGTCGGGGGTTGGTAATAGTCCCAGGTGCTGAAATAACACACATTCACCTTAGTGTACCTGTGTATTTTCAGCAGTCAACGGGAAATGCCACTGCATGTACGGCAGCTTCAGGTGTTGAACACCTGTCGAAATGTCGTTTTTTTTGCTGGGTGCTTACCATTTCTCCGTCACCCCCAGGGAGGCCGCCATAACCTGGTGACCCCGGGAGCCCAGCTTCTCCCTTCCTTCCCTGGAGGTGCAGACACCCAGGCAGGCAGACAAACAGTTTTACAGCAAACCACAAAATGTGGGATTGTGATTTATATAGAGCGTGTTGCCATTTTACATTGCAAAAGTAACAAGCACAGTCAAATGCACTGCCTTTGGCTAATTTATACCCTCTGGTGGGGGAGAGTTTGTTTCCGAGCCGGCAGATCTTTATACTGTCCACGCAGCCTGAAGCATGCATTCTATATAACGCACCATCTTGAATTCCCACGAGGAAGATGCATTCGCATTACCTAAATGATCACATCGACATGGTGTAGTTAATATTTTTAAACCCAACATTTTGAAAACCAGTGGTCCAAATGTTAACTAACTTTGAGTGCCACGGTGGTGGGATGTTAACTACCTCGCCTGCTATACAAGAAGGCGTTGGTTCGATCCTGATCCTGACGCCTATATGTTCGGAGTTTGCATGTCTCTCTCCCTGTGGTCATGTGGATTCATCTCCGAGTCCTCCGGTTTTTCCATGCACATTTAAAAAAAACACGCGTTTAGAGTATTTGGCTGTTCTAAATTTATGCATGATAAGCCACTTCGTTGAGCTATTATTTGTGGCCAGGTCACTTTTGAAAAAGAGCTGTGTAGCTCAGCGGGCCTTATTTAGTAAAATAAATAAAAAGTTCAGTTTAAATAGTAACTTATATGGTAGTAAAGAGCAGTCTTTTGGGTTATGATTCTGTGTTTTTAATTGTGAAGGTGTACTCTTATATAACTCTTCAACTTTAGTTCTTTATATATTGTTTCTTAAAGTCTATATATGAATTTGAGATATATATTATGGAAATGTAAAACAAAATATCTGTTTTTAAGAGTAAAATTAAATGTATTGATATTGGTTATTATGAGGTTGTAATGAAACGAGAGAGTGGTGGTGCAGTGGTTAGCGCACTGCACTACTTACCCAGCAAGCATACTTTGATTCCTGATCACGGCTAACATCAGTGGCAAGTTATATCTGAACAGACGAGTGTGGTGAAGTATGGTTAATAAACCTCCCAAATAACATAAAATGAGTGGACTGACAAAGGAAGTTAACTATTATCGTGTTACTCATGAAACACAATATCTAGTTACTTTTATATATTTATATTTGTTAACAGTTTCTGGCTTCTTCATAAAACATGTAAATGTGGAACCACTCATTCCCAATCTCTTGAATTTATAAACACGACACTATTTTAGCATCAATCACTCTTCATAATCACAGTGTAACTTAATTTGTTTTTTGGTAAACACCAAAAAATTCCGTAGTTGTTTGCCCACGCAAGACTTATCTTTTGACGTACGTCGTTCAGGAATTGCAAGGGAAATGCTGTGCATTCACTTTATTGTGGCATGCAGTTTATGAAAGGGAAACATATCCGGCTTTTAGTCGGGCACATTAGGCACATACCGCAGGTCCTGGTAGTCCCCACGGCCCCTGGGTCCCTGTTGTACCTTTCGAACCCTGAACGGAAGAGAAGGAAGTCAGTTAATCAGGAACACGAGAGGAAAATTAAACAGGTTCTCTTTGATAATCAGCCGAAAGTTTTCTATTATGCCCAAGTGGTGTGTGTGTTGTGTGGTGTGCAGTTAATTTAATGACCGTTAGGTAGTTCGATGAATTCTAGAAAGCAGACTGGCTCAATTTTGGTAATCAAATTGCAACTAAATTATTCATGGCGATCAATAGAAAGCAGAAACCAATTTGGTACTAAACACTGGCAGTTTAACACGAACACGTGCAGGTAATGGCACTAAATCACCACAATTGTACACAAACGGAAACTACAAATTCGTGCGATTTTCCTTTATTAGCTATGAGAGTAGCTTATGAGGACAAAAACATAAAATGTATTGCTAAAATACATTCTACGTTTTAATATAATATACAGCATAAACAAATGATGTCCAAAATCCATGGGCATTTGGACAAAATTTACTATTGATACGAATTCGCATTTGATGCAAAAAAGAAAGTGAACGAAAATAAATACGTTCTTAACCACGAACCAAAAACCTGACTAAAGGTGACATCTGGAGAAAAAACAGAATGCCAATACAGCAAGTACATTACCAAACGACAATTTAAATGTATCATTTAATCAGAGATCATGCCTGACCACAATCCATCCATCTTACAATCAAATGCACCGAAAAAAAAAAGCAAGACTCTTTTGTGTTATTTAAATCCGTTGTTGGGAGAATGTAATGATATTTTGAAGTACATATTCTATAGTAAAAAAAGGTTATCACATTACATGTAAGTGATATTGCCACCTCAACAAATAAAAAAATGTATAACAGCGAGCAGTTCATAAGGTGATACCACTTTTGAAGCTCGCTTAAACAAAGAAAATTCAAGTCCCATGCTGTGTTTTCGAATGGGATTCAACTGTTCATTGCAGAACACTGAGCAGTCCTTCATGTCAGTCAAGAGCAATAAAGCAAAGTATGTGTGTTTCCCCCTTCAGCGTTACAATGAATTTAAGCAACTACGTTGCAATAGACGTGCAAAAGGCTCTTTTGATGTTGAACTTTGTGACCCGTGTCATTAATTTAACATGACAAAACTGCTCAGCAACAAGCATGGTGACACGTAAGCTTTTAATTCCCAAGAAGCCAAGTCTCGTTGCAGACCTCATGTCTCAGTCTTTCTTCTCAAAATCAACGTCACCGCGATGTGGCAACATTAGATTTTTTCAGCAATCATTAACATTTTTCAGTTACACACTTTCGATAATTTTTTTTTATTATTTGCTTAGAACCTGAACCAGCTGCGCTAATTTTTGGGAAATTAATCTTTAAAAGGTGGAAAGGGGAAAAAATCGCACTCACGTATGAACTGTCTTGTTCAATATATTGCAGGATACAGTATTAATTTACATTCTGCGTTTAAACTATTAACAAAGGGACTTTGTCAACTCTTATTGCTTCCTTTACTGAGGTCGACTCTGAAAGTGTTTTCCTTTAAGTTTAAGTAAGAAAAAAAGGCTAAGTTCAGGGTGAAAAAGTTTCAGCTTGCAAAAACAACTGTTTCCTTGGTTTACCTTGTCACTGCTGCCACATGCTGTGATGCAGAGGGCAGGTGAACCACCGAGGGGGGGGGGGGGCGGTTGAAACCAGCGGGAATGTGGTCGATAAGAAGTGCCGCATTTTTTTTCTGAATGTTCTGCCGTACCCAGAGTCAACAATTTAAGCCTCGCAGTTTCTCAGCTCCCATGGAGCGCCTTGCTCCAAGCTGTCGGAAGTCAGCTTGCCGTTGCCTTACCTTCGTTCCCTCGGGGCCAGCGGGACCTGCCAAGCCCGCTGCTCCGTCAAACCCCTGGGGAAAGAAACGGACAGGCTTGGTTAACAAGCAACACACCTGGACAACGTCCAGGCAAGATACATTTTAAAAGAGCCTAGAGGCCAACATTTCTTGACGTACAGAAGGCTGGTTAACAATAAAGCTTGACCACCTGATGTGTTTCATGATTCTATGAGCATGGGATTTGTCATTGTCAGACCAGGATTTGTCCAATAACTTGGCTGAATGTTTGTTAATGTATTCATAAATGTGCTGTCATACTAGGCAAGTTAATGAATGTTGAGTACGTTGGCAGCCATGAAGTAATTAACTGCAACAAAATAAACGTGTTACATTTCAGAATGTATATATGTTGCACCTCTTTCGCACCGTACATATCAAACCGTGCTAATCAGAGGTGTAGGGGAAGGACAGCAAACTAAACACAAAACGCGGTGATAAGCAAATGAGTTTTCAATCTAGATTTAAAAGTGCGCTTCTCCAGTGGCTTTCTGATATTGGAAGGAAGAGCGTTCCAGGCGGCCGCAGAAGCGCATCTGAAAGTTTGCGATGCAGTCGACAATTCATAGAGGAAGCTGCCATGGTATAATGTTTAGCACACTGGTCTTGCAATCCAAAGGTCTCTGGTTTGATCTCCCAGCGTTACAGCTGAAACAATGGGAAAATTATTTAAATCCCTCCCTACTCTGTTCACGCTGCAGTGTAAACGCGTCCACCACAGCGAGGCGATTGGCAGGTCACGTGCGGTGGGGTAAAGTGTGGCTACATCATGGGACCTCCTTTGCCAGTACCAAAATATACTAATAGGGTTTTTCCCCTTTTTTCTGGCAACAAATTGTCTTTGAACTGTGCGCCTTTTGACGTCATCTGGTCGAACACTATATGAGACTAGGCTCTAAAGAAAGCTGTCTCTGGTGTGGACCAATCAGTTTCAAGGACAATGCATACATTATCAGAATATAGTTTTTTGTTTGCATTTGACTGCAAGTATTGTGGTTAATGTAAACATGATTCCTTGCAAAAGGTCTCAGTTTTGTTGCCATAAAAAAGGGGAAAACCCCTATTAGTATAAAGTGTGGCTACTTCCATTCTTTAGAAGATGTCTGCGCAGCATGGAAGAGTAGGCTCTCCAAGAGCTCCATCTCATGGAGGCTCTTCTGTCAAGTGGTATTAGCAATATATTGCAGGGTTGTATCTTTACGTCATTTGAAATGTATAGAAATTGCTTCCAAATGTAGCTAGTTATCTGGAACTTAATTCCATAAGCTTGCCTTTTTATATTTCTGGCTTATCAACCAGTTTACAAGCTCCCCCTCCATGAGGCAAGTGAAATACAGCAACAGGGTGAATATGGCTGTAGCATGTGTTGATAAGCTGGTCATAATTATGTATCAGTTCCATAGTCTTTGGTTATTTCGGTAAAGTCACGTAGATAGGTAAAATAAAATAAAAAAATAAAATTGAAAATAAAATTAAAAATAAAAGCAAAAAACCCACGACGTTTCGATCGCAACACAGGCGGTCTTCATCAGGCGATTGAAACGTCGTGGGTTTTTTGCTTTTATTTATAATTTTATTTATAATTTTTATTTTAGTTACATTTATTTTGTATTTTCTATCTACGTGACTTTACCAAAATAACAAAAGAATATGAATTCCTGCAGTCACGAAAGTTTAAAGTCAAAATTGATCAGTTCCATGTAATTAATCCTTTGTTAAAGAAAAATATGGTTATCATAAAGGTACATCATTAAGTGTCTATGCTTGCTCGTTACAAAATACGAACGTAATAATATTGAAATTTCCGTTCATTAAAGTGCAATCCAATATTGTCCCCTTGTCAATTAGTGATCATTCGTGTTATTTCATCATAGATGCCCATTACGATTGTTTTTTTTTTAAAGTCGAGCAGGGCGAGGGAATGAGCCCAGAGTGAGGTGTTGAGACCTGGAGTGTGGCGATTGAACACAGTACGCGTGAGACACAACAGTCAGTCTGGTAGACCGAGTTCTCAACATGGGTAAATACATTATTAATGGGTGAAGTTCACGGGACCAGTAACCATGCCATGGTGTTAGCGATACAAGAGTGATAAGGAGGCAACTGGTTGCCCGTGAATCGAGTGAGCCAGTGAGTGCTGGATCATAAATCAGTCAATCCGACTGCTTCACGTGGAGTTCTGTACAGTGACGTACGATCTGTATGCTCTGCCCCATGTAGACAACAACAACAGGATTCCAACTTCGGCCACAGTCGTGCTTTGTATGGTGGTAATAATAATTGTTTCGAGTTAAAGTATAAACATATTCCGCTGTACTCCCCGAGCCGTGATCTAAGAAAATTAAGGGGAGCACGACGAGAAATAAAAGTAGTAGTAGGAAATAGCGGGAGATATACAAGACAAGGGAAAAAATAATGTCCGTATCGATTTGCATAATGGATAAAAGAGTCACAATTGGTGTTAAGTAATCTATGGACCAGTGAGCCCTATGGTAATATATTAACATAATTCGATATGTAGCCATTTACTTTTTTTACCATTATAGGTTCTGTCGTCCTTGCCTTGACGGGGTGTCTTGTTCAGATACCAGTGTTTGTCTCTTTGAGCCTCAAGCATTTCCACTGAATCTTATCATGCATTTATTTCTTAGGCCCATGTAATTGGGTATTACTCAGGGTCACTGGCAATACCATGTGTTATTGTTTTAATAGTTTGTGAATATTAAGTGACTTATATGGGGAAGAGAATGCACACTCATATACATGCAATCTTTTTGAAATTAAATGACCTGCTGTCCTTTTAATTTCAGTTTTTTTATATTTAGAAAAATAAGGCTTCGACATAATTAGTTTAATTTGTTAATGGTATGCTCTGCAACAAAGGGTAAAAATGACAAATGTTTTTTTTTGTAAATAAAAGCATGCAGATGAAATGGTTCCAAGAGCATTGATATTAATTTCTGGTACTGAAAGAAGACAACAATGATAATCTATCAAACACACATTGCACTGGTTCGAGCTCTCATATCAAGCCCCGTTACAATACCGAAATCATTAATAGGCACACATCTTTGAAAAATAGCTCATCGGATTCCTCCAAGCAGAGTCAACACTTCTCATAGCACTGGACAGCAGGATTGGCAAGCACGTACCATGAATACAAGACGAATGAATCAGCTGTGTTGGGCCAAATTTCCATATATGTGAGAGAGAAAAACAATCCAGCCATGAAATATATTTCTTCAAGGTGTAATCGTGATTTAAACAAAAACCTCTTGCTATTAATTTACAATCTCTGAAGATTAGAAACACAGCAATCTGCCAAGAATATCTCAAAGCCTTTGCAGCAGGTATCGCCTACATTGGCTCCATTTTAAACGAAGCTGGCATCATGGAAGTTGTCATTTTTGTTCCGCAAATGACTGTGCCTCTCCAAATGCAGGCGTCTGGCTGACGCTACATCGCACGTGATTTGTTCAGAGCAAGTTTAGTCCACCCAGTCCGCACATACAACTGAAAGACATTCAAAATGGGAAAGTTAAATGTGTAGCCGTGCAATGTCTTTCTCACGCCACTGCTGACAAAAGAATCTCCACTACAGGGAGCTCTAGAGATCCCCTCTATGGAGAGTACTTTGGCCTACTAGCAGTGCCGGATTATCCTCGTGGCAATAGTAGCTACAAATGCTACGGGCCTCGCACTTTCAAGGGCCCCGCGCTAAATGCTTTCAAGCTATCAATTCCGGTTCAGTGATTCTGCACTTGCTCTATCACTATAGTACTATACCGCCTTCAACTTTTATGAACGACTGGGTGTTTACGGTTAGCGATTTGTCGTATTATCTGGCTGTATAGCAAATAAAAAAAATACAATTACTTGACTATACAAGTAAAAAATGTGTTTGAATATTTGTGTAATTTTCGTGTAATTTAGGGCCCCTTTATAATATATGCTACAGACCCCGCACTAGCTTCATCTGGCACTGCCTACTAGTTCACATTGGCCAGACGTCGAGGAAGAAGTGGGAGCACCCACAGTTTACACCGACCATATGCGACCTACTAGTCGACTACCTGTGTTGTACCCATAGACACTGCCGGGTAGACAGAGGTGGGGGGATTTAAGGGGATACAATTCATCAAGGTGTTGTCAATTCTCATTTGTAACAAACAAAAATCACACTTTCAAGATTGCTTGACGCGTAAACAAAAATATTCCAGTGAATTGACGGTGCGAATTCATGAAGAAATGCGACTGCATTTTTACATCATCTAGGAAATTTAAAAACATGCGTTTGCTCCAACCAATCAGCAATGCTTTACAACAACAACGATCCCCCCTGTAGCCTTAACAGACTGTCGGGGCAAATGCTGTTAGCGGGTGGCTACAAAGGCCGACACGGCACCAGGTACTCATTTTGAGTCAACCTAGCGGAAGCCCAGGACCGGTTCAGATAATCGTCACTGGAGTTGACCGTGAGCGGGGAATCGAACCCCCGGGTGGCCGGGATAGCAGTGCGGCATGCTCAGCGCTGCTACACCACTGCTCCCCCTTTAAAGCGATGGTACGTAACCCCACGATGACCGGCGTTGTGAAGTATAATCAAAGAGCCCCCGCGATCGACATGCGCCGTGGGGGGGGCAGGGCTTCATCTATCAGTGGATTGACGAAGAGATTTACATTATTGCTATTTATACAGTACTGTATATATATATCAAATAGCAAAAAATTAGGACATTTGATTGGCTCAGATGCAGCATCTTGGAGGCATGCATCTATGTTTTCATTGGTGTTGGCATTGCATATATAAGTACAAACTAAAAAAATGATGGCACGCCGAAATGCAAGACACTCAACATTTTGGCCAACAGGCTTTCATAAAAATTAATTATGCCTGGGTGTCTCCTAACATCATAGCGAGTACATTCTACAAGTTTTACTTCTTCTAATGTTGATGAACACCTGCTGATAATCCGTCACAAAAGTACACCTTTGCCAAGAAAATGTTGCTGACG